TGTTCCAGCTTTATCGGTTTACCCAAATCCAAATTGTACCAAATATAGTATGATTTAGAACTTTTCGTACACATAAGTAAAAAAATCCAAAACTACGTATATATCCCAATCCTACACTTCGACGGTAATGTTAATTTAAACTTGTACCTCAAAATTAAATTTGTACCGAATATAATACCATATAGTACTTTTCGTATACATAAGTACACGCTTCCAAAGCCAGCTCCTTATATCGACAATACTTCTCAACCTTAATTTACATTCCAAATTTCAAGTTTTTAGCTCTATCAATTCACATGCTACGAAATTGTACTAAATTTAGTACATTTTAGTACTTTTGGCATACTTATAGTTCGAATGTCGAAAACCCCTTTGCTATATCTATTCTACACTAGCTCTACCGGTTCGCCAAATACAAATGGTATTATATTTAGTACTTTTCGTACCGTTCTAGTACGAATTTCCTAAAACCCAGCCTTATCTGTCACCTTTGGACCAAGAATGACCCTCACCCAAAATTTCAAGATTCTAGCTTCAGACGTTTCGTCTGGGCATTGATGAATCGTTAAATCAGTCAGTCAATCACTTTACTCTTTTATTAGTATATATTATTTAATACTTATATATATATATATATATATATATGTTTATATTTGTCTTTTATTTTTCATCGAAAACGATATACAAATTATTTGAAAATATGGCAGGCACGCCGGCAACGATCAATATTTATTTTGGAATTACCCTTATTTCTCAATCATAAAATTCCACAAGTAAGGATTACTAAGAAAATTATTTCTTAAAATTTATATTTAATATATTTTTTAAATGTATGTATATTTTTTTTTACAAAGAATATTGAATAAAAATAAAGAATAATGAATTTACTAAAAATACTTTTTGTTTTTATTTACGTAGACAACAAATTTTTGGGATTTATTTTTTCAAATTCAGGTGGAGTTGGAACCCCCACTAACAATTTTTTTGGACGTCCATAAATAAAACCCATTTTTAGCATTTTTTTAATCTGTTTATTTATTTTATTTCAATAAACAAAGTATGATGTACATAGAGGAATAACTTAACTACATACACTATTTACTTAATAGTACTTAATACAATGGTAGTGTAGAGGAACAAATTGATGAACGATGTCAGGCTCAGAAATTGCTCAAACCTACCAGGCATCCAGAACAGGTAGATAGAAAATTTAACTAATTGGCAAACTGCTGGCTTTTAGCTCCGTAACATGTACCAGGTTTGATATTCGGAACAACATTTTTCGGCTCATATCAGGAATAGATTTCAAAAAATTCAACATAACTGATTTGATAGTCCTTATTCTTTAAGGTGGCTACTATATAAAATACGCTAAGACTGCTTATTTAATATTTAAAGAAGGACCACAAATGATGTGGGTCTCAGGGTTGTCTTTCCTGACCTGACATTATGATACCTTCATAATGAAGTAAAAAATTGGCCATTGGTAGGGAAGGTTCTAATTAAATTTTTACTTAAAATAATTCATATTTTTTAAATTTTAATTATAAATAGCCAAACTTCCTACCTTCCATATGGCACAAATTTTTTTACAATATATGCAGTAGTTCAACAGTTATATTAATAAAAGAGGAATAGCTGCTTAAGTGGGTCAATTATACGGCCATAACATTGAAGAAAGGGACTGTGAACCATTTTAACATAGCACGCATTTTTATAAAAACTCAATGATTTGAAAGGTTGTTTGTTAAATTATAGCCCTATCTGAAGATGTTTGGCAGTGAAACAATACACGAAGTATATGCAAACTGTTAAAAACAGTGTTTCCCAAAAGATAATAGCTTAAATATCACCCTTTATAATTGTAAAAATATGGAATGGCAGGTTTTAATAAAACTTCAGAATTCCCTCTAACCATATCTGAAAACAGTATAAAAATTAGTTTAGTAGTTGCCGAGATATTTGTATTTCAATTCAACGATGGTCCGAAATACACCTCCTGCTCGATTCTGGTCGCCTATTACCTGAAAATGAAAAACCACACAAAAATCGGTCTTTTAAAAAAGGCAAAAATTGTTTTCATAATGTCTGCTGCTGTTGTATGAAAATTTTAGCATACTTGTAGGGGCAAAGGGCAGTTCGTTGCTTGATATGTTAGTGTGATTGTATGTGATTTATGCACATATGCAATGTAAAATATATTTACATACACACACTGTAGCTGTATGAAGAAAAAATTTCAATCTTTGCAAGATCGATTTTTTTTTTTTGGTAATAGGTGCCCAGCATCGAACCGAAAGTATATTTCGGAGCATGGCAGAATTGGAATTCAAATAACTCCGGAAATACTTAACCAGTTTTTATGGTTAGAGGGAATTCTGCAGTTTTATTACACAATGACATTATAGATTTATTACACCTACTAGCATATGCACGCTACTTTGTTAGCGAATGTGGGATATATTTAAAAATGTATTAACATATTATTTTATTTTCACAGAAAACTGCATATGTCAGAAAAACTAAGCAATCCACACATCAATATCGACCATAAATTAAATTCGGGTGCCATTTAGTTTCATGATTCGAGCTCTAATGGTTCACCCAAACCCAAATATAGTTCCATTTGGAACACATTATTTCCAAGAGTACCAACCTCTACCATCCAACAAAACTTCCTGCATAGCCCGATCCTACACCCCCACAATGATTCCAAATTCAAATTTCAGAATTCCAAGTCTATTGGTTCACCCACAATTTAAATTGTACCACATTTAGTACACAGTAGTACGAATTTCCAATACTCTTCCTACTTAACCCAAATCCACACACCCACAGTGATCCTAAATCCATGTTTCAGAATTCCATCTCTATCGGTTCATCCACAATTCAATTTGTACCAAATTTAGTACACAGTAGTACGAATTTCCAAAACTTCCTACTTAACCCAACCTTACACCTCCACAGTGATCCTAAATCCAAGTTTAAGTATTCCAACTCTATCGGTTCACCCACAATTCAAATTGTACCAAATTTAGTACCCATTAATATAAATTGCTTAACCTGAATCCTGACTCCAATCCTACACCCAATACCGTGATCCTGACTCAAAATTTTGTTGTTTCCGCTCTTTCGGTTCACCCAAATCCAAATTGTACAATTATAGTACGATTTAGTACTTTTCATACACATCGTTAAAAAAATTTTCAAAACTACGTACATATTCAATTCCTACATTCCGACGGTAATGTTAATTTCATATTTCAGGATACCTCCAAAATAAATTTGCACCAAATATAGTACCATGTAGTACTTTTCGTACACACACGCTTTCAAAACAATCTCCTTAAATGGACTCTACTTCTCAACCATAATGCACACTCCAAATTTTAGCGCTATCCGTTCACATGCTACATAATTGCTCCAAATTTAGTACATTTTCGTACTTTTTGGGTAGTTATAGTTCGAAATTCCAAAAACCCTTTGGTACATCTATCCTACACTCAATCAACGACCACCAAACCAAATTTAAGAGTTTTTTCAGAGAAGTGCATTCGTCACGAGCAGGACTAGGGGGCATTCCAGTAGCACATGAGCTAAGAAACTATGAAGTTAATATGGAGAAAATGTCAACAATACCTCTATTCCAAACACAGATATTCACCGCACAGCACTATAGGTAATTTGCCCTGTTTTGAGGCAAAAATTAATAACAGGGGTGTTAAACGATTTTTTAACTTTTTATATGATTTCTATGTACAAGAGAGATAAAACGCAGATTTCCACAGTAGAAACCGGATATAACGAACAACGGTTATAAGAAACTACACATATAAGGAAAAAGCTAATTCTTTCTGAGATATTTTCATTAGTTGTCTTATACACAACAAACGGTTAAAAACGATTAGGGTAGTAAGTTAAAAAAATTTCGACCCCGCGATTAGATTTTTAATGGAATAATTATTACAATGTTGCATGTTTTTGCAGAATGCATTAATAACGATTAAGACAGTACCCATTTATAATCCTTAAGGACATTAATATGTAAAAGTGAGATAAAACCACGCTTACTACAGTCGAACACGATTATAGTAAACACTGCATATACTGAACAACATTTTTTTATATGCCCCCTTTTATTTTGAATCAATCCTGAAAAAGTAAAAAAGTAAATTTTTGATGGTTTATATTCTAAGGGGAAGTCAAGCCCGTCATTTCCTCTTCTCCGCTATTAAGATTGTTTTCTCATAATCTTTCCTTCGACAACCTATTTGCGGTTTAAGAGTCACGTTATTCATTTTGTAATCAAAATTCGTGTGTATTCGTTTTTTTCGCGGAAAATTTCTATCTTCCTATGTCATTCGGTGCATCTTGACAAATGCATGCAAAATAACCTAATTTCCTATTTTAATTTGAAGTATTTTTCGTCCATATTGTTTTTATTGGCAATTTTACTTGCGGGGGCGTTGTGAACAACAATATGTTTCCTTGCTTTTATTTTTTCATCAAACCAAATATTGAAAATATTATTGTTTTTTATTCTGAAGTTCCCTATAAAAAACTGATATATCTTGAAAAACGCAAATAATCGTACTTTGCGCACACTTTTACACAAAAAATCTTACAGATTCATAAAATATGACATGTTTTCTTTTTAAAGATATCAAAAAAGATTTTATTTTCCAAAATTGAAAAAAAAATGACTTTTTGCCCAAAATCTGTCCAAATTACCTTCACAAGCCGTCTGCTCATATCGACCGTACTTTTCAACCTTTATTCCCATTTGTAATTTCGCATACTACAATTTTTTTTTTAATAAAAAATACTACAAACGAATCGAAGGTTTATCAAAAATTTTTAGCTCAGACCACTACTGTATATGGAAATTACGTTGACATGTTTTTATTCAAATATGTATTTATTAAAAATATACAACAGAAACAAACACCAATAGCTATATGCTTGGCTCTTAAAACTATCTTAACCAACATTCTATTATTTTAATTTCGTTTACTCTTTCCTGCGCCATTTTGTTTGCCTTTACCAATATTCTCTTCCCACCAATTGCCATACCACTTGGCACTGTTACCAATTGAAGTTTCCTCGTCAATCAATGGCACATAGTCCATGTGAATCGATGCCCTAAGGCGATTGAAGAATATAATCGAAGATGCGTAGGAACTCAGCGTACGAATGGAGTACTTGAGAGTTATCTTCTTGACAGGTTCCAATATATTGATGAACATTTCAATTAGCATTGCAAAGAAATAGAAGATGAAATGAGGAATAGACCATGCGGAATGACGAGCTTTATATTTTCCACTGACCAAACCGATTTTTTGAATAAATCTTGAGGTATCATAGAGCGGGGTGTCATCGGTAATGAAAACAGGCAAGCCTCCAACAGATTTTGGCGCCTCCTTCAATGATTTGTATGCACACATATGGCCCCAGGCGACATTACCTTAAAAAAAAGAAAACAATACAATATTAGTGTTTGTTTGGCATTTGTAAAACCATATATATTAATATACCAGCATAACATAGTTGTTGTTTACCACCGGCTCCAGCAATCTTTGGATAGACATATGAATTTCTGCTCAAGAATCTCAACATGTCTGGCATGAAAAATGTATCACCCTCACCATAGGTTAATGGTGGACGAATAGCAGTTGTGGTCAATTGTCCGCTGCCATTACTTAAGGTTTTTCCATGTGCACTGAGAACAAGTTGTTCGGCCCTCAATTTCGACGACGAATAGCCACGGATAATAAATTGTTTATCGAATTCTTCGGGTTTTTTGGGATCAAAAACCGGGGTGGCAGCTTTTGACTCAGTTTGATTTATAACAACAGTACTGGAACTGCCTTTAAAGGGAACCATGCACACAGATCCACAGCTGGTATAGATTAAACGTTGGATATTGTTTTTAATGCATAGATCCACAACTGATTGGGTAGCTGTAAAATAAAGTCAAGTAAATTGATTAGAACTGATAATTTTTCAAAATTTAAATGCTTACCTTCCACATTATTACGATTCAATTCGTTGTATTTGGGAGGGTATTGCAAACTCATCATACCAGCACAGTGGAAAACGGTATCAACGCCTTTGAATGCATCCTCTACAGAACTGGGTTCGCATAAATCTCCCACAAATGTTCGAATCTCAAGCTTTTCATCTGAAAATGAAATTTAGTATATGTTATTGAGTTTAGAGCATTACTTAACGTTTGTTGTAATCTTAAACTATGCATACCATCAATTGTATTTTTAAAGGAATTTAAATCAACACTGCGCACTTCTTTTATTCCCAGTTCGACTTTGTCTTTTAGTAATTTTCTAATAATGTGTTGGCCAATAAAACCGCTACCACCGGTAACCAAAACAACATCGCCGCTGGCCATGGTGAGAAATAATGAACAGTATTAAATCTGCAATAGAATAAAATATAAATTAAGGTTTAATACAAAGTATTTACGGTTTCTAATACACTTCAAATAGAGCGTGTATTATTAATTTCCTCGTATATGTTTTGAAGTACCTTTTCAAAAACTTCCAAGCTAACAAAATATTTTAAAAGACACAAGTGTTTAAATACCCTGATGATAATGATAACAAATTAATAATCATTTATCTGAATAACGTTGATCGGTGGTCTTGACCTCAACCGTGTCACATTCGCATGTGTGATTTTTTTACCGTGACTTGACAGAATTTAGATTTAAATTTACACAAAAGACCAAACAGATCGTTGTAAGCAAAGTAATTAAAATTTTTATGATCACTTTAATTAGGTATTTTTTGGGGGGTTTTAATTTCCCCCAAATTACTCTTACACCAAGAAGTCATTTCCTCTGTCATCCATCATGTGTAGTTGTTATTTGTAGGTATTTAAATTTTTACAAAACTGATTCGTTTTATTTGTTGCTTCTTTTTGTTTCGAGATTTCTATGTCACACAACTCGAAACAAGTTTCATGGGTATGTTCGTGCTGTTGGTCTTCTATTCACAAAAGAAATGAAAATTTGGCCAGGGTCACATTCGCTGCTGCTGATGGTCAATAACGATGTTGTTGTTGCTTTTCTTATACTTGTGTTAGATAAGATGAAGATTTAAACAAAAATCATCGCTTTTGTTTTAATCTTTAATTTCGGTTTCATTGAGACTGTCCTCAAAATAAATACACACACACAAAAGAAGTAGAATCGAACATTTGTGAACGTTTAATTGGTTTGACAAGTATTACAACATTCAGTGGACTATTTTCATTAATTTTATTAAACCTAATCGTTGTCTTTAGTTAGATACATTTTAAACAAACTTTTGGACCAAAATATGACCTCAACAGCACCATGTTTCCTTTTTATTCCATTATTATTTGTAAATTGATTTTTTCTACCAATTATCCACTATGCCCGTTATTACTTACAATGTCTAAGAAAACCGATTGAAATTGTTTTTTTTTTACTTCTTTAGTTTTTTAACTATTTGGCAACTGTTTAGTTTGGAGACTATCTGTTGAATGAAACCAAACATTGGTAAGTTGCGTTAGGCAGCTGCTTATTGAGGTTTCAAGAGAGTTAAATTATGCATGGCTAAGAGAGACATGTACGCTTGCGCAATAAAATTAAGTAATACGTGCTCTCTTTGTCGTTACTCTTTTGTACCGTTCATTTTGTTTAGTGTTGTTAACGTGGTTTAAACTCACTGGCAACATTGATTAGTGAGGAGACGTAACGCGAGTTAAATCGTTTGAAATGCTATACGTTAACCGTTAACAGAATCTATATAGAGTCGAGTACGCTTATTACCAACACCGGTTATAACGAATATTTTTTTATATAGCGATCACACTTCCTGGTCCCGAAGTTTTAAGACATATATATCCATTAAAATGTTTACTAATATAGCGAATTACGGAACCTTTTTTCTTCCGGTTTAATGAAAATGTGATTTCGTGATTTTTGTTAAACTATTCTAAATGAATTAAAAACTTAAGTTCATACTAATAAACAGTGAGCGGAGCAGTATAGTCGAACTGGGCCGACCTTATGGTACCAAACCCAACTACCTCTAAACTCTAAATTTTTGCGGATCTATATTCATATTTCGCAATGAATGGATCTCCTTGACCGAGTAAAAGTCAACAGATCATATTATCATGAATAGGCAAATGCGTGTTCCTTGGTCAGCTTGCTTGTAATGTTTAGTGAGGTTTTCATCCACTAAAAACAAATGATCATTATTAAAAACAATAGAGATCATCATTGCCCGAAACGTACTTACATACAGACGATTGGTACATAACTGTGGCCTGTTCTGCATTTATAAATTATAATGGTCAGACGGACGAACGGAACATGACTCAGCTAATCGAGGTATGTCGATCGGTATACTAAAATGTGGGTCTATGTTCATAAACTTGTCCTAATATAAGCAAGGTTTAAGTATTAAATTTACATTAAAGCCAGTAAAATTTTTATGAAATAACCTTTTGAAATAATTTATTAATTTCGTTATGTTGTAAAATAAAACTTAATACAAAATATACATTTGATATATTTAACTAGATTTATATTACAAAAATAAAATATCATCAGATTAAAAAATACAATTTACAATTTAAAATAATTAATAGAATAAAAATAGAAGCAATTTGATATACTTATATATTTTTGGGATTACACATTGCAACATGTTAACTCTATTTGTAAATAGATAGATTGTGCTATAAGGCAGCAAGTGGTGTCTTTTTTGAGTTGTGTTTCAAAAACATTTACTTGTATTCATATTTAAAAAAACATGTATACACTATAGTTTTTAAGTACTTTAAGATGTTTTCTTATCTTAGAAGGCATTATTGTGTACTGTGTATGCAGAAACCTGAAGCGTTCTTTTGAGTATAGTGTGTCCTTGTTGTTTCAATTGTTTGTTTCTATTTTCTAGTAAATTATTACAATTAGATAGTAAAGCATTTTATGCATAAATTATTTAAATATTCGATAAACTCAATACCGATTTGTTTTGATTATAACTGTTATGTGATTTAAATTATAAATAAAGAAATAGAATACAACCAAGTCTTTCTATAGAAGCCAATAACAAGAACCCATTTCATGGGGTCAATAGGATAAGGCCGAGGATGCTCGTGAACCAACTTTGAAATCTTTGTACAACGAGAAAACTGAGATCTGCAAGATAAACATCGTACATACCAATTTATTAAAACAGTTTAATTTGAAGTTGTCGCTTTCTACTTACTTTATCTTTTAGCTGTTGACAAAGCTGTAGACCTGCTGACAGCATAAACAAAACCTCATTTAGCCAATTGATGGAAGCCTAATTAAACAGAACAATGATAATAACAAATTAGCAATCATTGCCATAAAGATTACGAGGTGTATAAATCACACTTACCTCAGCCTGGCACGAGTCAAAACGCATTGTCCCATGAATATTTGTTAGCTGATACACGGCAATAATTAATTTATGCGACTGCAAATAAAAACTAACAGCTAAATCTTCCGATAAATTCGGAGTCAGAGATTTCTGTAAGTAAAGAAAGCAAAGTTAATTATAATTTAAGATAAGGCAAACCGAAATATTGGTTGTTCGTGTGTGTGTGTATGTCAATGAATACGTACCATATTGCGGCCTTTTATTAATTCATCAATGGGCTTCTTTTTTGGTATGACAAGTGATAAGCGCCCTCTTTGTAGTGCTTCCAATATATTGCCAACAACATGCATTACTTCATCGGATGTTCTGTTATTGGTACGTTTTTGTTGTATTTGTTTGGTGTTTCATGGTTGATTGCAGGTCGACAAAAGATACAAAAAAAAATAAATTTGCTACTGATAAGAGATTTTTTATTTTTAATCGGAGCACTAATTAAAAAGGATTATCAATATGAATTTTGTGGAATATAAACAGTAAGGGTGCCACAGAAATATATGATTGCCAATTGCTGTAATATTGCTATAAATAATAACAGTATGGAAAATTTTCCATGAAATAAAAAAGGAAATGTCAGTCAATCAAAACTGAAATGTAGACCAAATCGACCATTAAGATTGAAACTAAGCTTTCTTCTGTAAAATATATTGTATGACGAATAATGGTTTTCAATTGACTCCTTCCCAGATCACATTTTTATAATTTAATCTAGCAATTTTATACAACTTGTTTTCAGTCAAAACTATTTGAACGTTATAACACTACGCACAATAAATCCTATATATTTAACATGTACTTATATTATGAAATCTTACTAAATAATATCAAAATAAATTAAACTGATTTTTCCAACAATTGATATACAAGCAAGCGTTATTAAATAAATTCCATAACGGTGTTTATATTTTATAAAAATCATGTCCATCCAATAAGTTGCCATTCAAAATTATATGTCGTACGATCAAAGCCTCTCGATTTATTTCATATAACAAATATTAAATTTCACTTTGTTCTAATCTTTTAACGGTCAACATTATCTAAACTGATTTATGCCAAAAAAAATTAAAGCTATAAAACAAATCTAATAAATCACCATGTGAATAAACCCTACCAATAACCACCATAACGGCCAAATGTCATTATTTATTTATAATTGGCATTAAATTAGCAAGTGTTTGATGTAATCACGAGAAGATACAATCAATCACAAGATGACATATTAATTCGGACAGTTATATAAAAAACGTTGCCGAAATATTAATTGAACAAGATGACTAAATATTGAACACAAAGTAATTAATTTCTTGTGGAAATAAAAAAATATGCTCGCAACTGTGACTAATTAAATCGATTGGGCAACAATTAAAAAAATTATAGAAGGGGAATGAAGATCTTCTGAAATAAAAGACGCATGATGGCGCCAGGTCTCATTGAATTTCTAAACTCATTTTCTCATTTTTATATGTTTATCATATAAATGTCATTTCAAACGTCTACGCACTGTAAATTGTAAAATTATAGTTTTAAGAAGACCATCCATTTAATAATAACTACAGCGATAAAAAGAGATACCTCAGCACTTGAGAAACATGTGAATAACGATGCATTAATTTTATCTTCAAATACATGAGACATTGTGTATGGCACATATTTTGCTCTAGATTTTCTTTCGTATGTACAGAACAAAGTTCAACATGAACGACCAACTATATGGGCGACCAAGATTTGTTTTCTTACGATAAAATATCCCTTCTTTCTACAGCAAATAGTCAATGAGTAATGTAATGGTTTTTGCTTTTGACATTTTTTTTAATATTTGTTCTCGTTGCTTATCACATTCATGAATATTCATTGAGGGCAAGGGGGATTAGAACTTATTTCAACGCATAATTGGTTTCTACTTACTTGAAATGGTACGACTCATCGACGTCATCAATGTGATTAATGGCTTGCTGGAGATGGTTCGCCGCATCCTGGACTTGCTGCAATTTCCATGGTGAGTCCTGTGTAATGGAGGTGCGTTGAATTTGATGAGGTGATTTGGATAATTTAAAACTAATGTCCTAAGAAAACAACAACAGAAATGGAAACAAGCATAAATACAAAAAACATCCAGCGGCACTGATATTCAGAGATAACTTACCGCTTGTGTAATGGTATCACCCGTCAGAGTGAGAATGGCCTTCAATTGATCTGGCGGTTGGACAGATAATATGAATTTTTCAGTCTTCTTTCCCTCATTTTCATACAATGGAACAGGAAACCGATGTGCACATTCCTAAACAAGCCACACAAAGAAAAAGAAAAAACATGTTAGCAAAAAGTATAAATAATAATAAAAAACAAGAGCAACAACATAACAACAATAGTTGTACAATAATGGTAATTGTTGTCTGTAATGCAGTATTAATCATAATAGTTATGTTTCTTCCGACACCTTTTGCGAGATAACACAAAACCAACAACAACAGCAACAGCCCCAACATTAAATTAAAAAAGTTCAATTGGCTGACAGACAAAACAATAAAGACGGGTGGCCGGACAGACGGACGTAGGCAGTCACAAAAACCCAACTACTACTAGCATAACTAGGAAATTGATTAAAAAAACTTACTATGAGAATAAATTTCAGTTTCTTCAGTAATTGATGCACCTCTTCCCTCAACACCCATTCGAACTCTTTTTGCTGCAATTCACAAGATGTTTAATAAAATTCATGTTTTTTATTTCAATATTCTTTTCTTCACTTGCCAGATTAAATTCTTCTTGTTTCTCTGCTTCCATGGCTATGGCTGGTTGTTGTTTGTAGCAACCATCATCATCGTCGTTTGTTGGTATTGTGTGTTTCTGCTGAACAGCTGATATGACAATAGCTTCGGGCAAAGGCGCCAGATGGCGCTGGTGTTTTCGTCTGGCATAGGGCGTATATGACCAATTGCCAGTTGCACTGAAAATACAATTTGAAAATAGTTATTTATTTCAACATCTAATGGAAAATAAATTTGATTTAGTTATCTGTGGAACCAATTAATTCCCTATATATGTTAATCCCTGGTCAAAGGCGTTATTTAAAATTTTATTAAATTTTATTATTAAAATTTCTATGTCATAGTGACTTACTTTTTTATTATTTTTATTTTTTTATTTACAAGGAAGTAGCGTAACGCCAAGCGTTGTGGAACACTACTATCTTTAACTACTTCCACGCTTTATCTTTTGCTCCAAGTTTCTTCATATTTAACTGCGACGATATACAAGAGTTGGACAATCTATTTCCTTGAGCGGTTCTAGCAAGAGGAACAAGTTCCGATCGTTCCTTGTTCGGAATAGTTCCTTTGAACTAGTTCGTTCCGGAAAGACAAAGAGTGAACACACTTCGCGCCAATTGGTAACATTTGTAAGAAAATTAATTATGAACTGATGCAGTCGAACTTGATTTAATGTAATATAACTCCAATGGCATTCATACAACGCCTAGAAGTTAAACTTCAACGACCAAATGCCATATTCGAATCCTGGCTAGAAAAATGGCTCGAAGAGGCTGAGAAAAAAGACAGTCGATCTAAATACAAATTACGTGAAGCATTGGAAGCTTTAAAAATGTATCCATTGCCATTGGCATCTGGCCGGGAATGTGCTATTTTAAGGGGATTTGGTTCGACACTGTGCAACCTAATCGATGAGGAAATGCGTCAACAACGGGAAAAAGCCCAAACAATTAACCTCAACAGTAGTCTCTATGAGCAGGATATCAAAGAGGTAGTGGAATCGGTGAAAAAGAGCAAAAGCAAAACAGCCCCAGTCAAGGAGAAAGCAACCAAACTCACAAAGAAACAACAGAAGGCACTCGAGGAAGAAGAGGAGCGTGTCAAACAAGTAACAATGAGTGCTGGATCATTCCGGGTAATTCTTATCGTAGACACACAGGAGACCACTGGTAAAAACAAAAAAACTCTAGATCAAACCAGAGGCTATTTAGAGTCGCTGCATGTTGAGTATGAAGTTCGTCGTCTTACTGTTGGTGATTTTCTTTGGATTGCTCGTGATAAGGAGGGTAACGAACTGGTATTGCCCTATATTGTGGAGCGTAAGCGAATGGATGATTTAGCTTCCAGCATACGTGATGGCCGTTTTCGTGAGCAAAAACATCGCTTAAAACATAGTGGAATTCAGCATGTAATCTATTTAGTTGAAGATTATGGAGACAATGAACATGTTGGCCTTCCTCTGGAAAATCTCAAACAAGCACTAAGTAACACGCTAATACACAGTCAATTTTCCATAAAACGTACTGAAAATCATCGCCGTTCAATGACGTATCTGCAGGGTATGTCCCAGATGTTGATACGTGTCTATAAGGATAAAGTTCTCCTGAGTTGTGACAAAGAAGATATACAACCACATAAACCTAGCCAAAGAATGGTCGGTTTATTGAAATTCAAATCACTGTATGAAGATTCAGCCCGCAATGCTCTCCTGACAGTGCGTGAAGTTTTCGTACAACAATTGTTGCAATTACATTCGCTGTCACTGGAAAGAGCGATGGCAATTGTTGAATTATATCCCACACCTCGGTGTCTTATGGAAGCCTATGATAATTGTATAACACCGGATGAAGCAAAGAATCTTTTGGCAAATTTACGATTTGGTCAATTGGAAAGACCGATGGGTGAAAAAATTAGTCAAACCATACATGACTTTTATCGCAGTGAGTTTTAATAAATCCAATTATGGAAAGAAACATTGTAAGAAGGGAAGATATTGAAAGTTAAGTGAATGAAGTAAAAAGAAAAAAAAGACGCACAAAAATCAATTGTGGAAGCCACAAGCTGTATGTTCTTGTTCACATTTTAGAAATAATGGACTAATTACCTTAGTAAAAATATTGCACATTAAGATTTAAACAAAAAATCTGATAAAAACTTTTAATTGAATTGCACAATACTTCATAGAATTAAAAATAATCACAATTTGTTATTTTATAAAGTTATAATTGGAAATGGGGCATATTGGTCAAATGCAGTTTTGTTGTTTTCTTAGTCCAAATTTGTTATCCTGATTATTTTGATTTATCACTAGCTTGAATTGTTATAAAGGATTGTTATATTTTATATTAAAAGGTAAATTTTATAATAAAAATGATTTATTTCGTAATTGTTATGTTCGTGCTTTGGAATTGAAAAATGAAAATCTAAAATATTAGGTTGGGGAAAGAAATCCATTATTTTTATATGAACTATGAGATTTTTTTAACATGCTTCGGACATTCCTAATTTTGGCCAAATATGTACAGTTTTATTGTATTCTTTGTTGCCATTTTAAAGGTAACTTCATAATGCCTCTCTCATTGAAGTCCTGCTCTCTATTTGCAAAAAACCCTAGTCGTCCATTTTCACAATCCTCCCTCGATACCAAATATTTATCATTTAAGAAATTTTGCAATGCATGAAAAATATGACAATCGCTTAAAGCCAAGTCCGGACTTTGGCCATATGGAAGCAACTCATAATAAATAATCCCCTTCCAGTCCCACCAAATGCATTGCAGAACCTTCCTGGCCGTTAGTCCTGGTTTGGCCACCGTTTGATGTGCTTCGCCGCTCTTTGACCACGACCGTTTTCGCACATTGCTATCGTATGTGATCCATTCCTCATCTCCAGTCACCACCCGTTTAAGAAATGGTTCAATTTCATTCCCTTTCATTCGCAGATGGAAATTCGATCCATCCTATTTCTTCTGTTAATTGGTGTGGCACCCAAACATCGAGCTTCTTTTTGAGTCCGGCTTTGTGTAAATATTTTAAAACAGTTTTATGGTCGATTTGTAGCCCCTGGCCGATATTACGACTGCTAACATGCCGGTCAACTTCAATAATTTCTTCGATTTTATGGAAATTTTCGTCGGCCTGCCGGATTTCTTTTTCCCCAACCTAATTTTAGGTTTTATGAGTATGCCTGTAGGCCTATTCTGTAACTTTTTAACATTATTCGACATAGCTTATTTTACAACAATTTCATTTGTTTATTTTGTTGTTTCTACAATAACAAAATTTTATGTTTATATTATAATTTATCTATAGTTCTGCTAATACTATGTAATATAAAAATCCTTTCTAAATACAGGGATATGTAGATTATTTTGAATTTATTTAATATTACGAATTGTGGAATGATTTTTTTCTTTCACGCTTTTGATGTTATGCATCGACTAGTTTCAGCATGAACTGATTCAAATTTTGTCACCTTTAAATGCCACGTTGAAATATTATAAACTTTGATTAACATGAAAATGATAATAAAGCAAGTTTTCAACCTTTATTTAACAATTCTTAGTTTATGGGAAGGGAGGGAGAAGAATGTGTTCGTTCGTATACTGATATACCAAGTTAATACTTGGTAGCGTAACACTTTTGCTTCTTCTGATTGTCTTTGGAATGAAATAATGTAAAGACCTTGGTTTTTGGTTACGCATAACTTCATTTGAAAAATACAAACATTGAATTTATAAACATTTTATTTTTAATTTGTTTTTCTTGGGAAGAACACACAGAAGAATATTTTTCTTAATTCCTAAAACTTACAGTACAAAAGAATTATAAAGTATATAACCATATATACTATTTTTATCTTTAATTAGAAATGAGTAATAAGTCTTTTAAAGTTTCGTTGTGCAAGGGGGGTTAGTCAGTTTGGAGATTTTTGTGGTTTCAAGGTTTTTCTTGTATTCATACGAAAAAATAATAAAACCAGCGGATAAAACGTCAGATAATAGATAGAGCAGAAGTTGAATGACTGTTCAATTTGCACGGGGTTTTGTGTATGGTCAAGAGTAATGAATGACAGTGGGCGATAATATCATCATATATTGTTGTTTTGTTTTTGTGAACATATTTTGATTTCTATCGTCAAGTTCTCGAGTATCATGTCGTTTAGGACCACTTAAACAATTATTCCACTTTTCATCAGTTATTTTGTTATCGTTCATGTTTTGTATGTGAATTATTGATAAATATTTTTGTAGTATTTGCGTTTCGGTTTTGTTTACATTTGCCATATATACCTCATGTACTATTTAAATTTTGTGATTAATCACATTAATAAATAATGTCAATCGATTATTTTACTGTAATAAATTTAAAAAAGTATGTTATACATTTTTGTAAGAAATGTTATGAGTTATGGTCAGGTTAAGAGAATGTCTTGTTATTCGTTTGAATTGACCATATTTAGTAGGTCTTTTTGTTTTGTGAACCTGAAGAGATTAACATGTATATTTTTGAATTATAATTCCTCGATAAGTTGGCTGCCAAACGTCATTCTATTATTAGTACGCTTGTTTTGACTGTGGCCCATAAATCAATGTGTATTAATAGGTTTTGTTAGTGCTTAAAGAAATCTTGAAATTTGAAACATGTATGTATTTGATTATCCATAATCTAAACCGATTTTGTTAATAATTTTTATTGCTGAGATTGTGCGAAATATTAAAAAAAGCAAAACAAAAAACATTAGCGGAGGTAAAATATTATTATTCTCCAGCATCAGCCAAAGGTCTCTTCTTAAATGTCAACATTTAGAATAAAAGTTGAAAAATTGGTTATTGGAGTTTCCACTAAGAGAGTTTTCCAAGGTTTATGGTATCATCGGTGTTATTTGACCTGGAATTTTCGGGAGTATTGTGCGATGATAGTATCAAGTACTACCACAAATCGTGGTAGTACTTGTGGAATGTGTATAGTGGAATGTGTATATAATATTTGGCATACCGTTTGCACACCTTGAAATATGAACTTATCCTAGCCCCCAGAAAACGGTGGCGACAAATTTTCTGTATTTTAAAAGTAGTAACGGTAAATATATAGTTTCTAACACCATTTGATGGATGGGTTTAAAGGGATAAGAACCGCAGAGTTTTTTTAATAATGAGAACAATTTCAAAACAATCTTGTTTTCTTTTTTTTGTTTTTGAGGCGTTGTAATATTTTGCCCCCATTGTGCATTATCGTACAGTTTTACTACATAATTTTAGGCTTTCATTTTTCACAAATAAATCGTTGGCCCACTGGATATGTCTAAACAAATTGTTATTATCAATGATAAACAATGTTCGTTTTATCAGTCCATAATAATCATGTTAAAAAGAATTTATGATAAAATGTACGCGAATAACAAGAAGTAGAAGAAAAAAAGATTACACATGAGAATTTCGGGGAAACCACTCTTCGATAATTTTATATTCATATAAATTAATCATTTCCATTTGTCTTAATGGAACTAAACCAAAACAAATGTCCAATATTACTCCTCAATATAGAAAATATTTGAGAATTTTTTGTTTCAATATGCCTGCTGCTGTGTTTTATTCTGTTGGTCATATTTTTTGTTTTAATTGGTTTTTTGAACCTTTTACTGTTGTTTTAATTGAAAAATATTGTATTAAAACATTTCTAAACAACAACAATAAATGAACAAAACAATAACACTCACACACACCTGCTTCTTTGAGGCATTTTTGCTGATATTGCCTGCTTGCTTTGTAGAGTAGAACGTGTTAAATTCCAAATTCACTTGAATAAGTTAAACTAAACGAAGACACGACGAACTCTTTTGTAAATACGTTCACAGACACATTAATAATACACACCGACACCCGCACAACTGTAGTAATTATAGAATTTTATAAAAAACGTACTCCGATTTTTTTAAATTTATTTCTTTATGTTATTTTGTTTCATTCCGAACGACGAGACTCGCTGTGCCACCAATCATATGGCCGATTCAAATAACAACAAAATGAAAAGTAAGCTTTTCAATAAGATTCACCCGAAAAAAAGGTTCGCATAACCGGCAGCGCGTTTCATGAGTGTAGTTAGCACACAAAAACAATTGAACCGTCAGCGCAGCGGAAAGGTATTGTAAAGCCCCTCCGGTAAACAAAAAATCCAGGCGAACAAACAAGCATAAGCGTCTAGCTGACTGAACGAATCCACGATAATAAATTAAACTAACTATCGCCGAAAATACTGAAAACTTGGCAGTACACACATTTGTTATATTTATCGCGCTGTCAAAGTCTTTGCAAGCTAGAGAACTAACTATAGGCCCGGAATCGTAACTATAGACTCCACCAACAAACCAAAAACCCTGGTAGATTGTCAGTGCCAGGTAGTCAATCAACGACTGGCTGGCTGGTTGGTCTTAACGAAATTAATTGATAAGAAAGAATTTATTATTTGTATTGATGGAAAGCATGTCCGTCGGTCTGCTTCACCTTACGTACTAACTTAATAACACCAAAACAAAACAAAATTGAAAATTAAATTTATTTCTCTCTGGCTCTCTCACACAGTCAACGTATTTGGAGTGCTGGAGAGTACAAATGTTCTTCGTTAACGTTCTATAATTCATTTTCATTCCAGCCGTTCATTCGTATGTTTATTATTTGACCAAAATATAGATTTGTTCGTGTTTAAATGGATTTATGATACTGTAATTTTCGATAGATACTGTTTGAAATGCGCAAGACCAACGGGATTCCGTCTTTGTATTTTTGCGTTTTGAGGTTTTGCGCTGTCATTTATTTATTTAACTTGTTATTCACATATGGATATATTTGTTTTTAAATTGAATTAAATATATATGTACGTGGGGAATATTTTTGATGATGGGAAGTGTATGCCCGAATATAGCCAAACTTCTAAAGTTTTCTCTGGCGATAGTCTTTATTTAATATGTACAAGTAACTCATAACGTTGGAGTAAATTTTCTATAAAATTGCGTAATTTTAATTACGAATTATTCTCCTTTTTAGGCCCTACTAGTTCAATTCTAAAGATGTGGATCGATGGCATGATATATAATATATTGATATAAATGCTTAGATAATTAAAATTAGGCTTTGAAGCAATTGGATGCAATTTAGAAAAGAAATTTTTTTTGTTTTAATTGTACCTCATATCTACCGAAGAGTCTGCGTTTGTAGTTCACTTGGGAGTAACTGCATACTAAATTGTTTATTAACTTTAAATTGTCAAATCCTCTACCCTCCCATTAGGAGGTTAGAAGTCTAAACTTATAATTCACACATTAATTATAGCTAATCAGCTGTCGTGGTTTTCTGTCTAATTTATAGTCCGCGGCTTTATTTTCATATCGACCAGTTTCCAGTTTTTAATTATTTTTACTAGTTTTAACTGGTTTTTAACCAGTTCCAAGGTTAATGAAAATTTTAGCTAATTAAAGGTAAAATTTTCATTGTCTATAAGTGTGGTTATTCGCAGCAGACGTGCATTCCTATATATTACCACACCGTCATGAAGAGTTTTATCATTGATTAAGGCGTCTTAGCTTGGAACGTTTGCATTAGTGTAGTCGATGGCATGACTGTTCCAGCAGTGCACCTTACAAAAGTTCAGATTACGGTAAAAATTTGTTTGGCACTTAAAGAAATGTGTATCATTTCCAACGTTTTTGTTGCTTACTTCTTTTTTTAAATCTATTATTTTCCTCAACAAATTGTGGGAATACAACAATTAAACTTAACTTTTTTATGAAAATGCTACATGTTGTAAAAAAAAAACAAAATATACACACAGTATAATGTGGGTGTGTCCCAAGAGATAATCCTATAAGGAATATGTGGAGTACAGGTTATCTTATCATTTATTTGTTAACATATAGATGAAGGAAATATTTTCCCCGTAGAAGTTTAAATAAAAATGACATAAAAGCTCACTGGAAACACTGAATAATATTTCTAAATGTCTATTAAATTTCAAATCGTTATCATGAGGCCAAAAATTTCCAATGTTAAAATTGAGAGCAAATATTGGTTAGCAAAATGTGTTAATAACAAATTGTGACAAATACTACTCGAATGAAAGGAAGCAGACATCTGTCAGAACAATGGACACTGTTCATATGACGGTTAATTATCGATTTGAACATTATAGGTCAACAACAAATTTGTTTTTTCCCTCATTCTGGTAAAACATCTTTTGTGGTGATTTTATTTTTGTGAGCATTTGAGCGTAGAAAAAATCTTTATGACATTCACAATTCACAAAGAGTGTTACTTTGTTCGATATCTTCGGGGATTTTGTTTTTCAATTCATTGTTGGTTTACCATATTGCAGATTAACACAAAACAGACTTTGTTTCAAAATGTTGGAATTTCATAAAGTCTCGTAATATTTGTTTACCATTTGCAGTGGGGTAGATTAACTCCTTGGTAATATTTTAATCTATTGTTTATGACTAGAGAGGGTTAGAGAAAATTAAACTTTTTTAATAGATTAAAAATGTACTTTTACGTCATCTAGAGAAAGTGCAAATTATTAAGATCCCGTTAATATTTTTTAATTAATAACACTAATCAATAACTTTTTGTGGATTAGATAATAAAAAAAATTTAGTTCAAACATAACATTTCTTGACGTACTGTAAACAGTGTGATGAGGCATATTTATGTTAGCACATTTGTGTTGACACATAGATTTGTGAATATTCAGACTTTTATTAACTAATGTATTGACATTTGTTTTAGAATCGACTTCTTCAGCGAGTATTCATAAATTTACTTTATTTTCTCTACGTCAATTGAAATATTTGGCCATTAACTTGCTCAAGTAGAAGGGTTAGGCTGAAGTGGATATTTTATATACCCTATATCGTTAATTGTAATAAGTTTGCATGCTGAAAATTTTTTACTTGTGGCTTATAAAACATTTATAAACGTATTCTGGCGGTATCCTTATCCGAATGAAATCCTGTGTACGTTGCTGTCTGGCGGTATCCTTATCCGAGAAAAAACGTAACGCTGCCTTTATGACTTTGTTGAGTTTGGGAGTTCTTGCTTATGATTTATAATTGTAAATCGATTATACATATTTACCGAACAATCATAGTCTCTGACATTTCAATCATAAAACCCTAAAAATAGAGATTAAAATTCAATTATTAGAATATCAAAATGCATGATCTAGTTTGACCAATGTATTTTGTAGGTGTAGTTAGATACTATGATTTTTCGACAGATATGAGATAAATACTTCCAAACATCTAAGATATGACCCGTAACTTTAAATAATTTAATAAAATGAAACACATATGAAATCCATTATTCAATTTCTTACTTTCACAGCAATAAAGATTGAACACAATATTCTATAATGAATGCTGTGAATTTCAGGCGATCACAAATCATTTAACGTCTTCTAGGACAAATCCTCAGATTGTTATTCCCACTTTAGCACTCACTTATTATGTAATACATTGGAATTACATAGTTTGTATATTCCAAATGCTTTCAATTTTTAAAGCCAAAATAATAACGCTTACTTACTTACAAATATGTAAGTAAACATTTCATTAATGAATATCAATATCATTTTTATTTCCCTTAACATATACGGCAACTAATTTATATATACATTTCAATGATATGATAACCTTTAATACCTTAAATGCACGATGTAAACTTCAACTACACAAGAATTTCTTATACAGCAATTTCTAAAATTGAATATTGTTTTTGTTTATTTGTCATAAAACCTTAAAACCAAATGTGCTATGTACATAATATTGTGTAAAATAAGTCACTTAATATATGGCCTTCATGATTTTGCTGAATTCCCATACCAGCTTTTGTAGTCAAATTTTGTTGATGTAGCTATAAATTTACACCATTCGATGAACACGTGCTTTGCGGTCATAAGCTTTTGTGAGAAAACAAAAAAAAAAAACCCACACCGCTGTCTATTAATTTATTTTTAATTATTATGTTAATAATTTTACGGGTATAATGCAAATTTATATTTAATGAGATGTTCCTCCTAAAAGTATGCTGCAGTTTAAATACTCTGATTTCTTTATTTCAATTTTATATTTATTGGTTTATCTATCTAAACTGATGTTGTAGGTAGCGGTTAGCAGATCATACAGTAGTGTAGTAGATTCCGTAGGCAACGTACAAAGAAGGTACAGTACGATTTTAGATTTTTTGAAGCTCTTTGCCGAATTTTCCATTAATTGCAATATGGATGAATTAAAAACATTCTCGCTAAAATATGGATCTGAATTTGGTTCCTGATAATAAAAGTTCATAATAAACTGATGCTTCTGTTTCCTTTTTATTTTATAAAAAAAATACAAATTTAATATAAGTTATGATAGTTAATGGCACAACTTTATATATGTCATAATTACTTTTAACTTTTTTGTTATTTTATTTTAGTAAAAAAATCATACAATACATGTCTGGTCTATTTATAAATGTTTAGAAACACAGATTAGGAAAGACAAAAACTATAACTGCGGGCAATTGAATCGATCCAACATTAATAATTTTGTGTGTTCAATCATCTAATTTACGTCTCCGGAACATAACGACGACAACATGATGGGCCTGCAGCATTCACATCAACAACTAACAGCCAGCAGTTCCATAGAGAAGATAAATTATACAGGTGTTCAATGTGTTCATAGAAGATGTTAATTTGTGTGTTTGTTTTATTGGGTTGGTTGATGGGTGGGTTGGTTGACGGGTGGGTTGGTTGGTTGCTTTATTCGCCAGTCATCATTTCCATGAATTCTGTAAATAGATTGAAAAACAGTTCACAGAAATGAATTATGTGTGTGGTATAAAATCGAATAAAATATTTTTGTTTTCTTTTAATGATACATTTTTATTTGTGTTTAACGGAACTACAATATTGTTATGTATTTGGCCTTTCTACAAATACAAAATAAAAACATTATATTTGTCAAAAGGATCATTAATTTCTTTAATAATCGTTGTGTTTCTTCTTTTGAAGATTTTGAATATAAGATGATATACCTTGACTACAGATTCTAGCGGTTTGTGTTTATTTATGTTAGTGTGTGTGTGTTTTTATAGTACAAATACGCATCACATATGCTGTTGATGTTTATATCTGGAGATATGTACAATTTTTTATTTGTGCTACCCCCATGGGAAACAGCTACAAAAACAATTAAAAATAAAATCTTAATGTTTATTAGCTTTTTGTTTTTTTTTTTATTAAATCCACCTGTATGAAATGACACATTCAGTGCTTTTGCTTTTTACCATATTTATAATATTGAAATATTTTGTTCAATATATATCAGATTTAGGATTTTGACTGTTAACAAGTTGTAGAGTCGAAAAAGACATATGTAATACACGTTATTTAAACACTGGGAATGTGATCTGGACAAGTAGATTTGGAATGTCCATTTTCATATTGTTCTACCGATAACATAGGTTTCCGACACATGTATTATACGTCAGAAACATATGTCATATATCATAGTCATGATTATATCAGATTTTAAATATTTGAAAAGAAAAACATCGGAAAATCTGACCTTATCTTCAGATCCACAATGAGTTTAGTTTAACTATTATCTGCATCGTGCAAGAAAGCTTCAGCTAATTTCATTTTAACAAATGTGAAAATAGTGATCATAATTCATAACAGAGCCAAAGATATAATGTCGTTGGAAATTTTTGGTTTCAGATATTCAAGTAATCTGAAATCATTAAAAACAACAACAATGCAATGTTACAAAAGTAAAAGTTGTATAGAAGCAATAGCTTCTGGGGAGAATATCCCAACAACAAACTAAGGGAACTGATGAGGATCAGTGGCGTGATCCGAAACTATAGTCTTCCCTGCCTTACCCCTCGGCAAACAATGCCATACATTCCCCACTAATAAATAGTTGTTTTTTATAAAAACAACAAACTGGGATTCAGCCTGACTATTTTGCAAAAACAAAATACAAATGGTATCCCAAATAAACAGCCAACACTACTGAAAAAGTACAAAATAAATTATGTTCATTTTTTAAACTAGTTGTTGTTTTCATAAAATCTAAATGCGAAGTTGGATTATTATGTGCTCAGTACCATTTTTGTTCCATCTAAACTAAAATGCATTTACCAGATGGAATATGAAACAAAATTATGATGATTTATTTTTTGAGAAAGTCTGTCACTTTCAGTACACAATTAATAGTCATTTTATAAGAAAAAAAATAAATAAATTGTAAGGAAATCTCACCCTAATGTAATTAACAAAATATATCCCACAAATGTTTTGTTTTAAAATGCCAAAAATTTCAATACCAACTTACCATCAAAATCAACTGTGCCAGAGCGATCAGAATCGATTTCTTCAATCATAATATCCAATTCTTGTTCGGTCAAAGCATCGTCCAATTCCTTGAGGATTTCTCTAAGGCAGGTGGTGGGAATGTATCCATTGCCTTGTTTGTCATACAAACGGAAGGCTTCGCGCAATTCCTTTTGCATAGCTTCAGCATCTTCCTCAACGATGAATTTAGCGGCTAATTGTACGAATTCTTCAAATTCCAAACGACCGGATTCTAAACGCAAAATTTTATTTTAATACCTTTTCATTCTATTTTCCGTTTCTGTTTTACTTACTGTCTTCATCGACTTCTTCAATAAGTTCTTCAAGGATTTTCTTATCAAAAGGTTGTCCCATCAAACGCAAAATATCGGCTACCAATTCGGTAGAGATGCTGCCACTCTTTTGGCTATCGAAACTGTTGAAAGCCTTTTGCAAAACTAATGAAAGGAAATGAATTCTTAATATAATATTACATGCTGCATATTTCTTTAAACTTACCAGCGATTTGCTCGGGTGTAAGATCTTCATCCTATTTAAGAAGACAAACAAAAAATAATCATGAATTTTTAATTTATTATTTTTTTTTAATAATTTTCTTTATAATTTCACTACTCACAATAGTCGAACTCATTTTGAATGAAATTTAAAAAATCACAACTTTTGATAAGAGACGTCCTTAACGGTCTGAGTTTAGGCTCTGACTGATGTTGACTTTTAACAACAATGCTTCCAAAATTTTGTCAGCGATGGTGACGGCGCCGTCAACGACAACAATGCCAATGCACGTCGACGCATTCACTTGTTACTCTATATAGGTGTCCATCTAAACAATATGTGCCACAGATATCTACATATATCCGTATGAATGTATGCAAATCTGTGATGACTTCGTCCCACACAAGTAGAACAGTAATAAACTTCGCTTCGTCTCATCGCTTCTAGCTGTTGTTCAAAATATTATCATCAGCAGCAGCGAAATCCATAAAAACACAATTTACCGCATTATAGCCCGCCTTCTGCCAACCTCATCCATTGTTTACAATCACAAAAACGAAGAAAATCATTTTTCCAAAATGTATTCAAAATAAATTTTATAAAAAGAAAATTGCACCGAAAGAAATATGCGAGATTTTGCTGTGAAAAATGTTCAGATGTAGTTTTACTACTCTGCAGTTCATGCATGCTGGTCCTGGGATTGCTTTATGATTAGTGTTAATGGACGTTACAGAGCTCAGTTAGCTTTATGTTCAATATAATTTCCTATCAAAGTACCAATGGTCACGCCAAAGACTACAGCAATGATCGGTTTATATTTAGGGGAAATGAATCAAAAATTTATTTTTGAATTGTTGTATGTACCCGGTAGTGGGAGTTATACTTCAATATTTACAGGGGCCTTCAAATTGAACGTTACGAAATTTTACTAAGTTCTGGATGTTTTTGATGCTTAGGGTATTACAAAAATAGTTAATTGCAATAATTTTGAATTTGAATATCAAGTCCCTTTATTTGTTCCCAATTATTTCACAGTGTATTTCAACGCAATTTACAGTCTGTTTTGAATGTTTCCATAAACATGATATTGTTGCTGCTAATGTTGTTGTTTGCCATCCTTATAGACTGAAAATTAGTGTTCCATTTCGGATTTTGATTTTATTATGTTGTTGTTGTTGCTGCTGTTCTTTTTTTCGTTTCGAAAAATACTGTAAAAACTCGGAAATTGCTGCATGCAGCCAGCTAGGCAGTCAGTTTGTCGTCCGCTAAGTGAATTTCACTATAGTGGTTTGCAAATGCTTATAAAAATGTTCATTTCGTTTTCCATTTCCACACTCCGCTCTACTCCTGCATTTCATTATTGCAGCAACTGCTGGTGGCAATATATACCCATTGTGTTTTTTATTTGTGACGTTGAGGCAGGAGACGTGGCAGCAGAATCTCTCACTCATATACAGAAAAAGAAAATCACAATATTTCAAAGCCGTTTGCAAACAATTTCACACATTGTTTTTTTCGTGGTCGTTGTTCTTTTCTAGCCGTTGTCGGTGTTTGCCTGCCTATGCTTATGGCTGTCTATCCATTCGAAATTGGCACAGTACAAGACGCAAAATATTGCAATTATAGGCTTTTGTCAGTTTTTTTTTTCCTTTTGATAAAAATACATTTGGTGCTACAAAACAGAAACAAAAAAGCTACGCACACGACCAAATACAACAATTATGAATATTTATTTCAATTTTACTATTTCTTCGCTAATCGTTTTTCCTCAAATTGAAATGAAAAATTATTTAGAAATGTTAAACATGGGCGTACTCAATAGAATTATTCAGGGGTTCAAATGCATATGGAATTCCGACCCAACCAGACGTCAGTTTTTGAATTTTTTCCTATGTACATATAATTTTTGGAGACCCAAGAACGGAAGGACCACTTTTTTAAAATCCCACACAATATTCAGGTTATTGTCACTTAATGTGGTCGGAGAACCTAATCTTGGTATTGAAGTGCTCAAGTTATTAATCCCCGGCTGTTTTATAAAAATAATAGATCAAATACTAAACAACAGACTGGGCCAGCTAGTTGCAAATTCAATGAAGTACGGTTATAGCAAACTAGTAGGGGTCAAGCAAATTAGTTCGTTATATAAGAGGTTCGTTATATTCAAGGTAATGCAAAACATAGGCTTAACAGAAAAAATATATTCAGTTAGAAACTGGCAGGGTCGATGTACTTTTTTGACAACATTTAATCTGCTTCTTTTTTCAATTCAATTTCAATTTATTTCATAAACGAGAATCTAGTTCAAAGGGCCAAGAGCGATTCAAGAAAACAACAAAATATTTTTCCTTCGATTAACCTGACAAATTGGGTGAAATTTTTTGTAAATTTTGATATCACAAGGGTGGTATGCCTTTTTCATCAAAACCAACAAACTAGGCTACAATGTATTTATCGCCATGACTAAACAAATGTTGGTGATGCAGAGCGAATCGACTCAAACCCACGACCATAATTTTCAAATAAAACAGATCTTGTTTGTTTTCCAATCATTTATTGTTCTTCTTTTCTTTTACACTATCATTACATATACAGTATTTTTTAACAATATTATCATCTATACATTTCGAATCGTCGGCATAACGATTCAAACGACTTATTTCCGTAACATCAACAAGTACTGTTCTCGTTTTCCTGTCGTAGAGAAAAGTAGCCTCGAATTCCGCCTCATTGGGATCTATAATGAAATTTATTCGATATTCTTGTATTCGACTTTTATGAGTGTCTGTGTGTAAATCCAATTTCAAATTGGCTTCGATTATTCTGTGCAATGACATCGTCGACACACATCTATCGGCATATGGGCCGCTTTGGAGATACTCGTTCATTTTGTATATAACTAAGTTTGTTAGATTTTTCATTTCAATCGAATCTGTGTCCAAACTTTCAAAAGGGGTACACGTACACCAGTGGTCTTCAATGCCAGCCATAGGACAAGTACGATTCTGGGGAACAGGTTGTAGCAACGTTTGGCATGTAGGACAGCTACTTGGTAATTGTATTGTCCCATTTTTACCCAGGGATATTAGAGCCAAATGTTTCAGAGTAACGTGAATATCGTAGGGGCTAGTTAGGCGATTTTTATTTACTATTAAAGACTCCACAATATCTGGATGCTGCGTTTGAAACCACTGTGGCAATCTCATGAAAAACATTGGTAATCTTTCCTCAATATAACCCTCTTTTTGCGATCTCAAAAAACCCCAACGAGCACCATGGTCACTGAACAGCACGACAATGTTATTATCGAGAATTCCCGTCTTGTTCATATATTCAAAATATTCCACCATTCGCGTATCCATTGTGGCTGGATCAATCCAATCGTTGTGACTGAAGGTGTTTGTCCAAAAAAGACCAAATATTGGTTTGCCCAAAAATCGTTCGGCAAATTCAACACCGAAGTCATACACATACTCTCCATATCTTCGAGGACCAATGCAATATTTCAATCCAGTTAATTCTTTCGCTTCCAGTTTCTCTTCAATGGCCAACAGTAATGGTCGTTGGTAGTAGTCCGTGGGAGGTTTTTCAAATCCGGGCTTTAAATAATCGAACGTACTCATTTCACAGGCATCTTCTGAATATGCGGTTACTATATTTTGATCTCTAAACCAGTTAAATAATGTTGTACAATTATCCAGGCCTTGTTTATCATAGTGGCAACGTTCATGGGCAGTTTCCAAATTCATTCCTGTAAATATCGCCATTATATTTGGAAATGTATTATCATCAATCTGGAAATAAGAGGAAAGTAATAAATAAAAAAAGGTCGATTTTAGTTTAGATTTAGATAAGCAAAATATATATCTCTAATCTCAAATAAGAACCCAGAGAACATTTTTGGATCTTCAATTTTAAAACTACACAAAGAAAATATGTAGTTAACATCATTTATTTGCCCTGAAGCCCTTAGTGTAAAGGAATGCAGTTCAATAAATAAATATTCCACCAAATGAAATTATTACCCCACATAATCGTCTTTAAGACAGTCGAGTTAAAGGTTGCGACATTTATTACATTCACATTTCGCTCAATAAAATTTCTACACAAAATAATAGTCCCTAAGGGAGTCGAATTAATGGCTTAAATTGTATCAGCGCTCTCTAAAAATGATACAGGAACAGTTCAAAAATTCCACGTTTTTTAACATCCCTCGTAGTTATGTGAAATTGCCCCCAATAACGGTCTTCTTTTAATAGACTACTGTGAAATATATATAACGACTTATTTCCGTAACATCCAAAACTAAAGCAACTGAAATTCCAAACAGAATAAATGATCTGTAACTTTTTTAAAAGAAAACATATAGTGAAAGTTTTTTCAGAAAAACTCACTTAAAAAAACGAAAAGTATAAATGTAAAATTTATTTTGAAATAAAAAGTATTCTATGGCAAACTAATTTGACTCAATTTTGTCTGGTCAGAAGTAAAGCAACTTCTTGATTTTTGATCTTATGAATATGTAAATTTTGCTAGTAATCGACAACATAGCCATTATTTTTGATTATGGCAGCGCACCAAGAAGTCATTCAATCTATAAGATGCTCGTTTTTATCATTGGGTGCACTATTCCTCGTTTTCTATACTGTGAAGATATGATGGTTGTTATGGCCATTATAAAATCCTGTTTTTTTAATCTCGCAACTATTTCGATGTATGTTTGACACCCAAACAAGCCCGAATGGAGCCGTTGCGTTTTTTCAAAACATTTGTTCCAAATAATTTTCTGTTATAAATTATTTTAATAATTTATGATAAGTTGCTGTGTTATAGGTGTACTGTATTTGTTGCTAGCCATTTTTAAATTTGTTTAACAGTAAGTCCTGATTTATATTAGGCGAGTTTACTTGCGGCAATTTTTATCGTTCTCTTTTGAACTTGCTTCATGCGTCTATACAAAGTCTTGATTTAGATTAGGCGAGTTTACTTGCGGCAAGTCTTTGTTTGTAGGAGAGAGGGGCAAGGGGTATAGAAATGAAAAAAAATTGCTCGTACCGACAATTTTCTGGCAATTCGTTTTGTGTTTTTCGTATTTGTTGACATTTTATATATATTTAAATGTGAAAAAACAACAAATAAAAAAATATTTTGGAAACCGAATTGCCTTGTATAGACGCATGGAGCAAGTTCAAAAGATAACGATAAAAATTGCCGCAAGTAAACTCGCCTAATATAAATCCAGACAAAGCAATTCGGTTTCCAAAATATTTTTTTATTTGTTGTTTTTTCACATTTAAAATATATAAAATGTCAACAAATGCGAAATACACAAAACGAATTGCCAGAAAATTGTCGGTACGAGCAACTTTTTTCCATTTCTATTCCCCTTGATCCTCTCTCCTACAAACAAAGCCTTGCCGCAAGTAAACTCGCCTAATTTAAATCGAAAATAAACCCATGTTATTGTAATAACGTCCTTAATAACGTCCGAGCAAAAATTAAGTCAATTTAATTTCCCTACATTATTATTAATTTCCAAATTAATTTTGCATTTATGCTTTTGTGTGTTTTTTTTTTAAGTAAAAAACCAATATGATTTAAAACTAAAAAACCAATACGATATGTTTATTTTTGAAAAAGTTATACGGCGTTTATTATCATTCAAAGTTTAGTTGCTTTAGTATTGGCCACCAGTGTATATGTATTTTTTATTTTGATTTCCACCATTTTGCCACAAATAGATTTCGTTTAAAAATACAATTTGAATGTTTATAATCGTTCTAATCAAGTTTAAGTATTATGCTGAATATTTATGGTAAAAATATGAATTTTTTCGTTAAAATCGAAATTTTGGATTGGTAATGAAGAAAAAACTACCAAAAATTTAGTAGATTTCTTGTTAATATTCATGAAAAATTATTTTCTTGGTGCTCAATAAGTGGATATAACGCCTTAATTTTTTTAACTTGTTTGCTCATTACATTTACCTTATTATAACCCGACAGCTCAAACCATTGATCATTTTTAATATAGTCAAATGTTGTCGGCATTATACGACGAATATTGAATTGGGACATGGTGTCGATGCCGAACATTAATATGCCGAACTGTCTAAAACCGTTATTGTTACTTTCAAATTTCACATTTATTTCATCACGTTGTTGAATAAAACTCATGCCATCCTGATAGAATGTGGGCGTATCCATAGTTCCATTACACTCGATCAATGCATAATCCACCGTATCGGGTACCGCGAAATCCTGTTCAAATGGCTCACATTCCCACCAGCTGTGTATTGCAAAAATGAAGACAATCATTTAATTTCATTGGCTAACTACCTCCGTCATCTTGGCTAACACCTACCCATAACCACCATCACCATCTCGCAAAAGTTGTGTGTAACAACAGCTGATATCTTCATCGGTTTCATTTAAATACAAATCTCTTAAGGCCGAATTAATGTGTAAGGTATACAACTTCAAGGAGTCGTTGTATTTTTTCGTAACCAATAATTCAATGTCACTGCAGTTGGGTACTGATCTGGCAGCAAATGATTCCGCCATTGCCTCTTGGTAGCTCGGTGAGAAGGGGTCCATCGATGGCATATGACAGTTTTCACTCCATACCAGATACCCTTGGGGCAATGTAATAGGTGCTATTGCTGTTTTTATAGTGGGATAGAACATTGGCGTCATATTGTTGATTTGTAATTTGAAATATTTCCAATGAACTGTATTAAACATATTATTGTACGCTTCATTGTTGTATATTGTTAGAAGGGTTATCAATGAAACTGCAAATAACACTGTTATTATTGTTTGAAACGAAGAGTTCGATCTTTTATTTATAATTAACATACTGGTAACGCAGAAAGGGTTTGAACGTGAATTCAAATAAAAAAATATATTTTAAGACATCATTTATAAATAAAGTGCCCACACATGGTTATATTATGCGAATTCAACTACTGAAATGTGTTGATAATATTTCGGAGAAGGATTTACAAAGGCATTCGAAATATATATCACAGCTTATTATCCTATTTCAGTACTCTTTGAAAATTTTCTTAAATTGTCTTTAGAAAAAAAAAATCTTATCACGTTCACTAAAAATATTGAGCGGTATTCAAAATATGATAACACTTTCGATCTAGCTTCGAAATAAATAGTAAAATTTGAAACTTTGTATATCGCGACGCGTTGTTTTCGTATAGGCAATAGATTGCACAATAAGATTCCAGTGCTATGTATTCTTTTTCGCGCTACGACAGATAAGAAAATATAAATGTTTAATTAAATATGTCTTATTATTTGCATTCAAACAAGAAATTAGTTGTTAATATGCAAACCAGTTTGGCAAAATATTGATTGGCATCAAACGTAGTTTTTAAAGTAATTTTTAGTTAAATTTCAAATTGAAGAAGATGTAGAAAAGTATTATGTCTTAACAGCAACAACAAAAGAATTAACATCAAAATATGCACTTAGAACTAGATTGAGTTCTAATATAATATATTATATAATATTATTTGGAATATTAGAGTGTGCCGAATATAGTTTGTTTACATGAAAAACAGAAAGATACAGAAATAAAATATAATAATTATTTAAGGGAACCCCCCATTCTCGATGTTCATTTTTCAAGATTTAAAATGTGCTGGTAAATCAATACCAATGCTTGTTAAGGTTTGTAACTTTGCACATATATATTTGAAGATTTAAAAGAGAAGAAAAATAAGTTACAAAAAAAGTTGTTATTGTGTTGTTGTTTTTTGTACTTATTTTTATGGCGGACATGATAACTCCTCACTGGAACATCGGAATCCGAAAATTCCAACGGTGTTAGAAAGAGTACTTGTCTGACTCTCGTATGAACTAGGATTATTGACTTCGCTCTAAAATTAACAAAATGGCGGGCCTTCGAAAAAATATTTTTGGAAAATGACCGATTTTTGACCACAAACCATGTTAAAAAATAAGAAAGATCTTCACCGATTGGCTTTACACACTCACAGAGAAACGTGTAAAAAATTGGAATCGATTGGGTTATTAATTTTTGAGTTATCGTGCCCGCCATGTTGGGAGAAAAACGCTTTTAAAGTTTGAGAAGCCCTTCAGCCGTCACTTGATGCTGGCACAATAAATCGGCTATATCTTCAAGAGTTCTAGAGATTTTCACTTGTAGGGACATTCTTGAATTCGTGTAGATTCGAATTAAATAAAAAAAATTTGACACATATAAACTAGTGTGTGCCAAGTATCCATATCAATATATTTATTGTCAGCTGTAGTACGATAATGTTTGAAGATAGAAATAATCGTCAAACAATTATCTATAAGAAACCAAAGATAGCCCATACGATTCGAAAGACTCGTGTCTAACTCGGCCAACGTCTGTCACCTCAGTATGGCGTTAAACACAGTAGGGCTGCAACAACAACGCCGAAAGGTAACAACAAATACACAATATGTAGCCGCTAATACAGCGTTTGTACAATTTGAATATGGTAGGAAAGTTTTTGAAATCGCTGTCATATCACAAGTCTCATCCCACTTTTTACGTGCATAATTCTTTTAACATACCTTATTATAACCGGATAATTCAAACCAGTTGTCATTAACCACATATTTAAATGATCTTGGCATTACACGACGAAAATTAAATTGCGATAGTGAATCTATACCGATCATCAAAATTCCAAACGGCCTCTCCTTCTGATCCACGTGCTTATGAAGTTTTTCGTTTACAGATTGTCGATTTTGAAAAAAAGAAAAACCATCTTCGTAGACCTGGGTATTGTTTCGAGTAGTTACACAGCTAATCAGCATATAATCAATATCATCGGGAACTGTAAAATATTGGTCAAACTGTTTGCATTCCAATAGGCTGAAACGAAAATATAAATGAATATATTATGCATTACCAGTTCTGTTTACTTGATTACCTACTTAAATCGTTTATCACCCTTCCGTAGTACCTGGCGGTAGCAGCATTTTATATCGTCACCATCAACTGTTCTATTCAAATACAAATGTTTGCGTTCATAGTGGATTTGAAGATAATACAATTTCGTTGAGGTATTAAATGATTTTGTGACCAAGGGTTCTTTGGTTGAGCAAACTGGACCGATTTCCTCTACATAATCCTTCATGTAGTGCGCTGCAAACGGATCCATCGTTGGTATATGACAGTTATCATTCCAAACTAAGTAGCCCTTGGGTGGTAGATTTTTGTTCAAATGGCTGCGTGATTGAAACATTTGATTGAAACATTGGAATACGGGTGATGGTAGGTAATCAAAACGATAACACAAAAAAGGCAAAGACAAATTTTTATCACCGAATCCGTGTGCTTTATTTTCCGAAACATTTTTGACTGTGCTCGATTTTGATAGACTTGTCGTTTTTAAGAGAATTTCGTGTTATCATTTATTTAACGTTTGCAATGTGTCATGACTGTATAATCAACGATGTTGTGATAAATAGGAACTACCGTAAAATCATAGTAACATGTTTCTTAGTTATACAGGGACGGAAAAATATAATAAGCTCGATTTTGCCTCTATTAAAATGGTCCAGTTGTATTCTTAATAAATTATTATTCTTTACAGGAAATATATAACTTTACAGGAAATATGCAATAATAACTGTTAGCAGTAGAAGAAAAATCTACGGTATTTCAAATATATACGGTGCGTACTAAAATACCTACATACTCACCTTTATAGGGTTTGTTGAACGTCCGTATTACCCAAATTCTTTATATATATATATATATATATATAAGGTGAGTATGTAGGTATTTTAGTACGCACCGCATTGAATTAAGTTTGAGCAAATAAGCCGAACATCACAAATTTTCCATGGGAAGACAATCTAGAAAACTAATTAATTCCTATGCCAAATTGCATTACTTCTATTTTGTTAAGATGGGTATATACATATATTTTTTGTTAACTTCTGTTTAGACTTTTGACATGTTTTATCCCAAAATGCTTTAGTAATTTTTATTGAAGTTACAGCAATAGAACGAAGTACCTAATACACTCTCCTCTATTCTATAGTGAACACTACAAAAAAAATAATAATATTGCGTTTAGCTTGTTGATATATGTTGTATTATAACTGTTATCAGCACACTTCTTAGAAGCAAATAAAAAATGAAAACATTCGTTTGTGTAGTTGAAGAACGATACAGAAAGTTCATTTATTAGACACGGATTTTATTTTCTCAATTTATTTAACAATGTCGGTGTTGATGAAGATATACTTGAAGAACTAGACGTTGTAATACTGCCAGAATTGTTTGATGATTTGTCATTTGTAGAAGTGGTTGTTGATGTTGACGAATTATTCAATAGTGCTGTCAGAGTAGCATGCGAAGAACTTAAATTGCTTGATTTATTCTTTTGCTGTTGCGGCGGCTGCAGCAACCCTTCAGTTGAGCTGATGTTCGAAGATGGTGATGAATTAGCTGTTGATCGGCCTATATTAAGACTTGATGTTGTTGTATCTGAGATTATACTATTGCCTGAATTGTTTGGTGTTACATTGACAGATGACAAGGGTGATGAAATGGCCGGTGCAGTGGTCGGGACTTGTGAGGTACCCAAAAGCAAGGCATTGCGTAAGTGGCTATTGCTCTGTGCTGTCGAAGGATTCACTCCACTTCCTATGGAATACGAATTTGTTATTAGGCCACGACTTTTTATATTTAAATCAACGAAGAAAATTTTCATTTTTTGTATCATAAAATCCGGTACTGTAAATGTCATCATAACGGACAAATCTATAGACGCTTTGTTTTTGTATGCCTCATGTGTTTGATATAGACGGCACACTTCGTCGTATATAAGAAACAGAAATCGTGAATTTCGATTCGGCTGTGGAATAATCTGTTGATTAACTAACCAATCACGATCTTCGTTATCCGGTAAATAACGTATTAGCTCCGGATGTTTACTAGCCAAGCGTCGTTCTTTGCCTTCAGTGCCAAAACCAAATGCCTGATTGGCCTGAACGTCCAGAACAAACTTTGTACTAGTGGATATGTGGGCGGTATTCCAAAATATTTGCCTTCTGGGCTGCTGTTGAACCAAAGTATTTGTCTGAAGTTTTTGTAATTGTTGCTGATGGATTGGTTGCGGCGGTTGTTGTTGGACAAAAGTGGCAGCTTGACCTTGCATTAATGTTCCAACAACAGGTAAAATTTGTGCTGAGTTCTGTTGCTGTATTGGAGTTGCTGTCTTAATAAGCATATTGTCAGGGAAAAAACGTTTCTGTATTTCTATGACAGTAGCAGTGGTGGGCTTGTTAGGGGCTGGTCGTTTTAAGGCCATACGAATTGTACTGTTTTCTTGGCCACCGGGAACGGTGGGAAGTGTACTGGTAATTGGCAATGTTGCTGATTGGGCCTTGTAACGCAGTGTGGTTTTATATTGGGACTTTGAATTCTCCAGCAAAGCGCAGCACATTTTTTGTAACTAAAACAAAGATTATTAGTATAACGTTTTGTGTTAAAGTCCATGATTGCGTTCTTACTGCGTCTTCATTTATGGCTCCTTGGCCTAAATTTTCCTTGATATTATTAAAGGCTGGCTTGAAATATGTCTGAGAACCAAAACAATCCTTTAGATAAAATGAATCAGTCCAATATGAAACCTTACCTCGATATACCGTTTGACCAGCTCGTCGATTTCCTTGTCGAATACACTTTGTACAGCAATACGTACCAATTCCAAAGACCTCATACCAGATTCCGCTGATGAACCAGTCATCAGCGTTGTGCTAGAAGAAAACCGCTGTCGTATCTTTTGCAAAGTCAGTTCCGCCATTTGAGGAGTGGTAACATATTTCTACAAAACAACATTCATTCTCAATTAGCTATGCAAATAAAGGTCAAGAAGATGCTATTTACCATTGTGTCGCAATTATTGGTGTTGCTTGATACATTTGAGTTGTTTAGTGCTGCTGCTGCATTTGTTGTTTCGGCCTTGTGATTATTGGAAACAGGGCTGGCACTAGTAACCATTGAATGAGTTGTTTGATTGGAACAATTGGAATCGTCCGAAGAGGAATTTAATCCAGTTGGGGAACGGTTTGCCTCAGTAGATGATGCCGAAGTCGAACCAGCGTCACTTAAAATTTTCCAACCGCGTTGGATAACCATGATTTAAAAAGTGAAACACACAAATATTTCCTAACTCTTCGTTAATCTGAGTTTTTTATTTATTTAATATCTGCTTTTGCAAAATATTTGTATGTCTGCAGTCAAATGTTTAAGTCCAATTTTCAGTGTTCTTTTGAGCACCAGCCAGTTTTTTTGGTTTACATGTCCTTTGTGAAGAGGGGGTATGTACTGCGCATGTTTGAAATACAAATGTTCTTCTCTAGCAAGCAACAGCAATTTATTCTCATTCACATCTCTGTAATTCCCTCCAATTCCAACAGACGTTCTGCATTCATAATGCGCTCCAACGAGCCGCACTTAATCTCATCCATAAGATGTTGCTCGCTTGCCTCTTTTTCATTTGTGTCATCCTCCTCGCCCTCTTCTTGTACACCATCCATGTCTGTTGAACTACTATTCACGGTTTCTGTGTCAATATAACAATCCATTTGTTTTGTGTGTCCTTTGTGTCGTCTGCGCGCCAAATCTTTATCAAACTCGTCCATGTAAATCCAGGGGGAAGAGTAGTTGGGTGGGGGTACGTAACTACTGTTAACAGGCATTTGCAAAACATCCCCAACCATAAAAGGAAAAAGCCAACATACTAAAGGTGTAGGACCGCAAGTATAACTGGCTTCCTTGTGATAAAATAAGAAACCATCCAGCTCCGGTGTATTGTCAGACCACAAGGGGTATGTTTGTAATGTTTGGGCCGTCTTAACATTATTGGCAATGTCGCAACATTTCAGCAGGCTGAATGGTTTAATGTTACCTCCTTCATGATCCCTTTCGTCGGCTTCATCTTCCAACTCATCAAATTTCGATTTAAGCCAGAAGAAACGAAATTGAGTCTCACAGTCCAGGAAACACTGTTTGCCGTACCACAATACATCCAATACGTAAAATGTATCATTACCAGGGTTATAAATACAATCCAAAATGGAAAAACCACTTCCAGGCCTCGTTGATGCTCCGCCACCTGGTAAATGTGACATGAAAGACATACGAAAACGTCCAGCTTTACTAAACATTCTCGTTTTGCCTCTTGAGGATACCACCAAACATCGCTGGCCTTTCGGACATGGTACTAAAAGCCAATCATCTAAACACTCGGGCTTTTCTCTCATCCATTCAGATAGCTGCGGACCCAAGTCCGATCCATAGATTTCTTGAAATGTTTGTTGTTTGTATTTACGTCGATTTCCCGATGGCTTGCTCTCTTCTCTGAACACTCTTTGCTCGTCCTGTTGTTCCAAACGTTTTATTTTTTGTTCCTGTAATAGCTGCTGGCGTCGGATTTCCTGCCTTTTGCCTTTGTCTATATTACGTTTGTATAAATCCTGATACATGTCTCTGCTCGAGTTTTAGGTCTTTTATCCTAAAATACGATTGTCAATATTTCGAAACGTATGTGCTAGTTTTTTATTCCTAGTCGGGCTAAAATTCTGAAGAAGAAAAAAATATGAGTTAGCCGGTACAAAGGCAGCTGTTTCCGATGTTGTCTAGATTTTGCAATGCGGCCAAGTTTCAGATTAGCGTCAAAATACATTAGGTTCGTTCGTTTACTTTACTCAGTAAGAATTTGCAGAGAGTAAATACGAATTTTTCCTTTTCAAGAGAGAAAACTGCAAAAAGTAAACGAACAACATCCAATAAAAAGATTGTTTCGACACAGCTGATTAAAACAACAAACAAATTGGCGCAAACTAAAAAACAGCATTTTTATTAGGAAAATTGATAACAAGCGGAAAATGTATGTTGTTTACCAATACTTGCGTTTTCTTCATCAATTTTAATGTTTAATAATACAAAATCAATATAAAATTCACAAAACAATCAATTTGGTTGAGGACAATTTTGTTGTTTGTTTACAAAATATAGCCAAACAGCTGATTAAATATCAGCTGATGGTACAAGAAAATTCTTACTGAGTAAATTTTCCTTGTAAGAATTTGCAAATACTCAGTAACACAACTGTCAAATCTGCTCTCTCAATTCACTCTCTTTTACTGGACTTTTGGGTAAACGAACAACATTTTGTAATAATTTGTACAAATTCGTACAAATTATTGAGTAAACGAACGAACCTATTGTTTCCTCCATGATGCAATAATAAGGTAATGTATCAAAACAAAGACATTGTTTTTGTCTCGATTATCTGTCAAATTTGTCCTTATAATATTTCAAAAACTTGGCAACACTGCACATCGAATTCAAGTAGAAATTACGCACTTTGACAACTAATCAAGACATCAGCTGTTCTAAATGGACTACCTATTCATTGTGCCATGGTTTCCTCCAATGGTATAATTATTACAAGATAGTGCATAGCTACCAAATAATTACAATTTTTTCTCAATGTGGCTTGTTCAAATCGAAATACAAATTTTGTGTATGTGTGTGTGTTATTTTGAATACCATGTCTACAAAGAATGCTGGTAAAGATTATTTTGATTTTCCAATAATAAGTTCCATGGTATAATAATAGAAGGTAACAGCAAGTGTTGTTGTACAACAAACGATACAACAACCACATGGAAATTTGTTGTTGTAAGTTATATTAGTGTCAACGTCTTTTGACAGAAAAATGTAAACAAACAAACAAATTATCAACAAATTATTTTATTTTGAAAATTAAATATTTTCGAATCCTAAAAATAAAATTTGAAAAACATGAATGAAAATCTATCTAATTTACATTTCTATCGCTTTCACGTCTTTCCTATAATTAAGCCATTGCCACTTATATGTGTAACACCTATGAAAATGCAGGGAATTGCGAGTTGTTCCATGAAGAAAGATTTGCTTCCTCAAACTTTCCCAGTAGGCAGATTGAGTAAATTTAATACGGGAGCACATTTAATAAAGAACAATTTCAAATTGTATGTGTTCCCAATTTTCCTGTTGGGTGATTTTTAAAAACATAATTTGTCATATTCATATTGACACTAGTATTACGTTGGAATCAAATCAGCTGGGATTTGCTGTTACCTTTTATAATTGTACCATGAATAAGTTCGTCCGATAAGGTCAGATGACTCATCCGAGCTGTCAAAATGCCTTCAATTTTGACTTATTCAAATGAAAACGTAAACTACAATTTTGACAGTTTATGGAAAAATTAGCTATAAGATTCGCTTCTTACACGACCTGTTTTATGTACCTTGATTGTTCGTTTGCTTTTTGCAAATTTCTCTCTTCTTTCTCCCTTTTTCGTTTTTACTCTCAGTAAATTTTTACTGAGTAAATGTTACTAGAAAAGTTAACGAACATACCTAATCTCGCCCATGCATGGCGACTTGGCAGTATTGGCATTGATAACATAAGAAATTACCATTTGACAACAACTAACAGCTGTTTATATTTTGGTCGTGTTTACACCAGACGTGACAGACGTAGCAGATTTATTGGCAAACGACGATTGGAAATTTGCATTTGAAAAATGCAGAAAGTTTCTCGATTATATTGGCCATTATTGGTGACACCAAAAAATGCCGTTACAAAACCTGTAGATGCCGTATCCAAGAGTCAAAAGGTAAATAAGGATTCCAAATATAATGGACCGTTTCAATCAGTTTTTCGACATATTTTGTAGTTGATGACAGATTTGGGCCTTCTAAAACCGGCATCAAATGGGACATTTCAAATTATGCCCATCGCACAACGTTCCTTGGACAAATTGTGCCATTTGGTGAATGAAGCCATGTTATCCGTGGATGGACAAAAATGCTCTTTACCGGTGCTAACCTCCTCATCATTATGGAAAAAGTCTGGTCGTCTAAAAGGCGATATAACCGAATTTTTTATGTTACGTGATCGCCATGATAAATCGTTCCTACTGAGTCCGGTAAATCCAAATGTAATGGAAACGGGAATCATTTCATTACACTTTTATATTTGTAGACTCATGAAGAAGCTATTACTTCCATGTTGGCATCCACAGCACCCATATCATATAGGCAATTACCCTTACGATTATATCAAATTGGACCCAAGTTTCGTGATGAATTAAAGGCTCGATTTGGTTTAATGAGAGCTAAAGAATTCCTCATGAAAGACATGTATACATTTGATCGGACTGAAGGAGAAGCTCGTGAAACTTATGAGTTGGTCAATGATGCATATACCAAACTATTTAAGCAACTGGAGGTGCCCTTTGAAAAAGGTATGTGTCTGTGTCATTTATGGGTTGAAGCAAATTTTGAAAATTTCAATTGATGGGAAAAATTTATAATTTAATCAACCATTTTTTGAACAACTTGGATATTGGCCAAGTATTATTTATGACAGTGAATGTAAAGACAACATAATAGAAGAGTTGTGAATACAATCTCAATTTTACACCTACAATCACATTTTTAATCACACTCATTCCGATGTGGAATAAATAAATATGTTCGTATGAAATTGAAATCGGCGATCGACGTGCCCGATAGGCAAATCTTAAAAATTAAATTACAATAATATATATAAATAACAAATATAAAGGAGTTGTATTTAGTCCACTATCCTTAGGACTACTTATGCTCTATAATAAGGTGACAAGATTTAGGAAATGAAAATAGAAAAAGGGGACGTATTGTCACCATATCAATAAATTAATTTTTAGATTGAATAAGCGAAAATTAAAGGTTATTTTATTAGAGTTTCTTCTTTACAAGAATATATTAATTTTGTTTTTATCATTGTTCATGTATTAGTTAAATAGTATCTTTGTATGAATGACTTATTTTTTAAAATAACATGGGTTGGATGGTTAAACATTATCGATCCTTCTGTGGGTGAGATACATGTCCAGAGAGAAAATTAGAAATTATTTTTTACTTTTTAACTCATAGAAAATAATGCAAAAACTAATTTTTTATTCAAAAATAGTCATTAATAAACATAAAAAATAAAATTTAAGATTTTGAAGAAAAAAATTGTAGACCTTATAGACATATTAGTTTCCTAAATTATTGGCATATTCATTAAACTGTATATAAATGTCTTTTTTATGTTTAGTTGAAGCATGTACTGGCATGATGGGAGGTAAACTATCTCACGAATACCACTATATATCATCAGCTGGTGAAGACAATTTATTGCATTGCCAAAATTGTAATTATGCATTTAATATTGAAGTTACCGGAGAGAATAACAACGAGATATCATGTCTAAAGTGTAAAAGTGCAGATATTAAACATGTAAAGGGAATGGAAGTGGCTCATGCCTTCTTGCTTGGTGATCGCTATTCAAAAGTATTTAATGCCACATACCTGCATACGGATGGTAAACCTAAGACACTGATAATGGGTTGTTATGGCATTGGAGTCAGTCGAGTATTGGCGGCATCTCTAGAGGTGTTATCAACTGAAAATGAATTGAAATGGCCATCACTATTGGCGCCATATGATGTGTGTGTTATTGGACCCAAACAAGGTAGTAAAGAAGCCAGTCAAGGCGATGTTATTGAAGAGAAGTTATTGGCACAAATGCAGGCCATTTGTAACAGGGAACTTTTACATGATGATCGAAAGTATTTAACTATTGGAAAACGTTTAATGGAAGCGAAAAGGTATCCTATCATATTCTAGTACTGTTCAATATGGACATATTTTTATATATATTTTTTTCAGAATGGGATATCCCATTATAATTGTGGTGGGTTCCAAATCCTGTGACGAAGTTCCCAAGATCGAAGTTCATATTAATGGCATTTCAAAGGAATTGGAAATTAATTCAGCATTTATCGAAGTTACAGACTACCTCAAGCACAAAAACTCTCTAGCCCAATTGTAAAAGTAATTTACAACTATTTTTTATTTCCAAAGCAATGTGTTACATTAACTAGTTTAAGAAAAACATGAAACAATAAAAGAACAAAAACAAATTATATTTCTATCACACAATTTATATTGTTGGTTGACTAATTTCCATAATCGGGTTCGGGTATTTCCGGATAAACTTGCATTTGTGGTTTCTTTGGTGTAGGCGGTGGAATACTGGTGTAGGACCAAGGCAATTGACCTCTTAATTCCTCACTGACTCTTTGATTTTGTTGAGACTGCGGTGAGTAGTTGTCACCTACTACAGAATAACGTAGGTTTAGGGGGGATATTGGTGAGAGTTGTTCATGATTCACAGGCGTTTTTGGTGGTTGAAGTTGCAATGGTGGGAGTTGGGTTTGAGGCTGGGGTGGAGGTTGAGACTGTTGCTGTTGTTGCGTTGGATAATTCAATCTATCGGGATGAGTTTCTGTGTTGCGGTATGTCATTTGTTCGTTCACGGATGGATAAATTTTGGGAGATTGTACAGGAGCAGATGGTTGTTGTTGCTGTTCATAGGCTCTTGTGTTCTGAGGTGGTATCGATGATTGTCTTTGTACGCTGGAAGGGTTCTGAATGATTAATGGTTTTGGTCGAATTAATTCTGATTCTCGTTGTCCTGTAGGTGTAGAGGATCGTTGTTGCTGTTGTATTTCCTCAGCCATCATTTGAGCTTCGCGATATGGTTGTCTTTCTTGTGGTGTTGCAATGGGAAGTGTACTAGCTGTATTTGCACTGGTGACGCTGCTCTTAGTCGAAGAATTCTACAAATGTGTAATATTTTTTCAAGAGAATATCAAGCTATTCAAAGTACTTATTTGGAATGAATACTTACCCTCTTTGAAAGAACACTGGAAAGAGATAGGCAAAAACTGGATCCAAAAATGTTCAATAACCAAATTAACACAATTCTCGAAGTAATGCAGGTCATTATTATCGAAGGTGTTACAAAGTAGGTGGAAAACGGTTTCAAAATATTCATAGCTGCTTCGGCAGTTGATAGTCCAAGATAGGTAAAAGTATTTTCGACAGACTATGAAAAAGAATGGACAAATTATATTGTACAATGCACCATGTGTATTGAATACTACTCACAGTTGTGTGTACAATATCATGTACATGATATCCAGTAGCCACTGCATCCAAAATACTGCCGGCAATAATAACTAAGAACCATGGCCAAAAGCATAATGCTTTTACAACTGTTGTTACGGGCCCACAAATTGTTGTAATCACCAACAAAGAGGTAACAATCCACAAAGCACTAATTGCTGCATAGGCAATCATAAATATGAAGGTTCGATTTGTAACCTCATCAGATTCGCCCCAGTTTACATGTATCGTCAATGATTCTTCCACCGATGGTGTGGTTATGGAAGGATTGCCACAGTCTTCATCTGGAAATAAAATTATACGTGAAAATGTTACTGAAATTGCTACTGTAGGACCATAACACTAACCGCCAATTTTACGATTTATAGAAATATTCAGGGGACTAATAGTTCTTATATACATTGATTATTGTGTTTATTATTTATTTATTTAATGAAAAAGATGAAACTAACAAAAAACGGTTATATATATATAAAAAATAAAGAGTTATTAAAAAAATAAACACGTCACTATACTAAAACTAACCTTTGAATAAAATGCAAGAAATAATTTATAATTATAGACTTAAAAAATTTTGTCTGCATCTCCTTCAAAATAAATAAAAAGTATATATTTTACCATTTACCTATGGGTGTATAGAAGAATATAAAATATTAAAGTCAAATATATTATAGAAATTCAAAGTTTTGATTATGGTTCTCAGATTTGTATTGTATTTAACAAACGCGGAAACAATACCGTTTGACTAGAATTATTTAAAAGAACTCATATTTGATATATTCTCTTAAAACTGATGTACTTAGGCAGGACTAGACAGGGAGCAACATTTTAAAAATGTCCTATTGCCATAAGATTTTGGTTTTAATTCTTTCTAACGTTTCAATTGGTTAAAATTTGATTCAAAATTCTCAGTCAACACTTGACTTAAATTCTTGTAATGATACCGCTGCATAGTAATTCATAATTTGAGAACGTCTAAAACGATTTGACTCACAATTTCTTTTAAATAATTGTTGATAGTTTTTTTTTTAATTTTAAATACTTACTCAAGAAGTAAATTAAATCTGTGGCAAATTTAAGCGGTGCGGCCGATACATCAGTAGTCTCTTTTGAACATTCTCTCAGTGTAATGCCCCATACGGAAAGACCCAAATATAAACAACCTTGAAGCTGTAATCACAAAAAAAAAGAATATTATCAATGCAACTCGTGTATTACTTGTAGCAGCCTTCTCATTATATTTCCTTAAGTTCTGTTGTGGTTACATGAAGTAATCAATTTGGTCTACCTTTTTTGTAGAAATTTAAAGATTAAATAGCAAAATCTATCAGAATTGATAAGATAAGTACATATTGTATTTTGGCCATTGCTGTTATTGTTTTTCTGTAGAGGGGGAAATTTTGAAATTAATAATCACAAAGTTGGAATTTCAAATGAAGGTAATTTTTCGACTGTGTATTTTTTCATACAGCAATGGTTTCATAAGTAAATGATAAATTTGACACATTGACGTAGAATTTGATAATTTTAATATTAACGCTGAACCACCAAATAATTAAATTAATAAATGTTTGATAACAAATACCAAATTAAATTGTATTAAGGGCCTAAAAGTCCTAAATTGAAAATAACAACTATTTTATTCACAATAAATTTTTCAAAGTTTTGAGATTTTAGTGTTAGTCTGCATTTATGTCTTTAATTAATCTGTCATATCCCTTTATCCGTACGATTAGCATATTGTTTTCGTTCCCTTTTATTAGTTAGTTCATATTATTGTTTCGGGAGGACAGAATATTTTATGTAGTATTTTTTTTCTATTCCGGACAAGTGTAATATAACCTTAATAACTTCGGCAGTGCAAAGAGGTTTCTGGTTTTGTTTATCACCACCATATGTTTCAATTATTATTCATATATTGAATTAGCACCATGCGAACAGTTTAAATATAAGCCATTGACTATGTAGTTGCTGGGTAAAAATTAAATATAATACAACGAATTAAAGTCCATACATTTAATAAAGGTAAATTTAAATGTTTTATCAAAATTGTTTTCCATTCATATAGACGCAACATTTTTAATGAATTACTCATCCAGTTGTTTAGATAGACCAAATCGTTTCTTCAATTCAATTCAATTTACTTGACTTGTTTTATTTCCCTATTTACTTACCAATATTATTAAGGCCATAAACAATATAAAACATTTGGCGAAACCGCCATTTACTCCAGAATTTGACATTTTCTTGTCACTTCGTTGATTATCTGCTCTGCGGTGTTATTCCGATTTGTACTAATTTTCCGCAATAATTGCAAAATGTTTGCTTTTGATTTTGTTATTTTATTCTGAAAAGGGGCCACTTACAGCAGTACACAGTCATAATCTTCCATATGACTGACTGGTTGGCTGACTGAATGAATAACCGAACAATGAGCCCTCAAGCCTTTGAATGATAATGGCAACGTAAAATCAAATAATTCGAACGCAAATCGTCGTTTCGATTTCAAGTGATCAGGTAAATAATAATAAAAAAACGTTGGTTCTTCCCTTGTCGTTGTTGCTGTTTTTGATTAGAAACCAAAAAAAAAGAAAATATTTAGACCATTTTAGTACTAACTTTGCGATATCTTATCGATGCGCGACCATAATGAGTTTGGATTTTTGTATTTTATTTCATAGAAATGAATTTGCTCTCTTTTTGGCAAAAGGTGTATTATCAAAGCGTCATGGGATTATTTCGAAAAGAAAACGAAAAATACAATGTCAATGTTACGAAGAACAGTTGTAAAGCGGCCAAGTGAAGTTGCTAATAATATAAATACATAAATAATTACAAAAATGTATCAATTGTAAGAGAATTGTTTTTTGCATGTTACGAAAATGAATGATTTATTTTTCTGTAGTTATATGTATTCCGGTTTTAAAAAAGCATATAACCCGAATATCCACGTGTTTCTTTCTTTAAATTATATAGAGAAATATCGGAATTTAAATAATAGTGAGTAAATATTAGATCCAAATGGTATTCTATCATTTCAAAATTTCGGTAGAGTAATCAATCAAATGATTCATTTCTACAAAACCTTTTCGAACGCTAATAATAATAATTAAAGATAAACAAATAAATGCATGTGATACATTCGCATGTGCATAAATGCATAGCTACTGGGGATTTAATTTCTACCCCTTAAAAAAGAAAAATGTCACATAAATAAATTGAAGGACTTTTGGGAACATGTAATAAATTATTGTTTGTGACCATCTGCATGGATAAATTATAAGCTTTTTTTAACTCCAACCCGAATTTATCGCTTGTCATTTCTATTTTTTTATAAAATATTTATTAAAATTACCTATTAACACTCAAAAATACTAAAACTTTCCGAACAAATACTATGATACCTAGAGTAACGGTATTTTTAAATTCGCCAGAGTTGCATATGTTTTGACCCAGCTAAAATCGAGTAATCCATTTTATCAATAAATTTTACCAAAAATTTCTGGGAAAAATTACAATTACAGTTTCAATTGAACGGTGAAAAAACACCAAGTTGACCTATTTTTTAACTTCAAATAAAGAGATTACAACATATTTCCACATATTCAATTTCAGTTGCATATGTTTTGGCGACCACTGTATATATATATAAGCTGTTCAATACATATGAACATATGTGGGGATGGCACCGCATCCACACAATCATTCTTAAACTCCATTCTAACTTTAAATTGCAAAATCCAAGAACTCATGAAGCACCTGCAATCACACCTTCCATCTAGTAATGCCAGTACTTACGAGCATCAATCAAGGAATCTGAAAAACGGATAGGGCTAGATTGAATTCCATCCAAGCATATGGCGTGTGTCTAGACTTATATATCGATTATTTGATTGATATGTACTTTAGATAACACATACAATTATATATCATATGTATCCAAAATGCCTGGGGTATGCGAATCTTACACTTAATTTTACAGTTTTAAGAATTCCAAAGAGTTTACCGAAATTTTATTTGAAGTTTTCTTAAGACTTGCTATAATATCAAACTAGACTGTATATTTGTTTGAAGAATATATTGCCAAATTATAGAATATTTAATGATATCTTATCACCATTCCCGGCACATTGTAATTTCATTCAGCTCCAATTGTTTCAATAAAAATTTGTTTCAGTATTTTGGCAATGAGTCTTCTATGAAATTTTTTTTTTTTGTGGAAAAATTCATTATTTAATGCAATTCACATTGTGTCATTTGTCAGATAAAAATCAATTTTGTTACGAAGTTTACAACGGCAAGTCTGATATGAATTTAGATACAGTGGTGGCCATATTAAAATTTAAAATACTTTGTATTTTTCCCATGTTTTAGGTTTAATTGAAACAGTAATTGTATTTTTTTTAAAATTCCTAATATGTTGCTGAGTAAAAGCATTGTTGCAATTATTTCTTTCTAATATCCATAAAGCAGACAATGCTCTCCGATGTTAAATATTAACACAGTTTCGATGGACCATAGACCCAATGTAAAAAGTTTGAACCTATTATACCTTAACATTTATACTAGAAGTTGTGCAAGGATTATATAGTCGATCTTTGCCATTCCTTCTGGAAAACATATGTGGTCTCAACTTATTAAAATCATAAATCTCGATTTTACTGTATACAATAGGCCATATGATCCGTTAGATATCAGTCGGCATTACCTAAATATTTTAATTAAAATTGTTTTAATCTTATAACGAAATATCTTGAGGGAAAATTGTGTTCAGAAGGTGGATAAAATCAATCCCATCGTATTTTTATAAAATCAAACCACTCATATATGTTGAAAGAAAAGAAGAAGAAAAAATAAAATAGAATAGTCCATTCGAATTTGAAGTCATATTTGTTATTAATAACCAACACTGTCATAGATGCTAGTTATTCCGCCGCTGTATTTCGAATTTCATTGGCCCCTCTTCATTTTGTTTTCACATGTATTAATAAATCACAATTAATTTGAGGTAAATGACCGCACAAGATCATTTTTATCAGCCAAGTTGATAATTATCATAGGAATACAGATCAGATTTTGATAAAACACTTATATTAAATACTAATTTGTTTAATCGTTTATCGGTGTTGTAGTTTTCGAGCGTGTTTATTTTTACTCATATAGAGAATTGAATTCACTGTGGCTGGCCGAGCAAAAACGCCATTGGGGTCATCGATAAATATATGCCTATTATACATTTAAAAGAGGGCCAGGGACTAAAGGAGAAAATAATGCTCGTGTTTACGCTGGCGTCATTGTGTCCATACCCGCTTGCACTCGATAAATAACCCGCTCGTTAGCCACCGAAATACCGGCACTTGAACACATCTAGTACATAGCGAAACTGAAGATTGCACCTACAATTACGCGATTCGGCACGACAAAACGTTGGCTGTTAGATCATCTCCAAGTTTTCATTTTCACTTCGAAATAATAATAATAATAACAGCAACAGCAGCCACAACAGTCACTAGACAAACAAAAACACAGTGGCCCTCTGCGCTGTTCATGACTCATTTCTAATATGATGAAAAATTGGGAGAATTTAATTTTTTTTCGTACAGAAGACGGCAGGCACTACTGAAACAACCGACTATCTGTTATTCTCATTGCTGTTATATTCGATATATGCGCGGGAGCAATCTTCCCTCTGCTGGCGTTTCATTCTGCTGCTTCCAGCTGCTACTGCTCCGAAAACAATTTCTGTGAGCATTTTTAATTCGCAATTATTTTCGTAGTTTTGTTTATTTTCTGTTTTTATTTTTTAGTATTTGAACGATCAATGTTTGTTTACCGTTGTTGTTGTTGTCGTTGTTTTAACAATTGTTATTGTTGTGTTATTTGAAATCGATCGGTTCGGCTGTTATAATGATGTTGATTGGTTTTGTCACTATTTCAAATAGGCTCTCGTAACAAGTAGACGGTTAAACACTTGGTTAGATACTGATTGCAAGTACACTCTCGAATTAAAACAGTCGATTTGCCCTGCCCTGTCCTACCCTGAATCATCTGCCTGCCTTACCTAGCTTCCCGCAAGTGATCAATGTTTACACAGCACAACGAACTGTATTTTTATTATGATGGTGGGGAATTCAGAAGCCCCCCTTCAAAACATAAGTTTTGTGGGTGCTGGAGCTGCTGCTGTTCGCGGGTAAAATGCACATGGTTGTTGTTATTGTTGTTTTACACACCTGTACCTTGTACACTCCCCATATCCAGCAACAGTTGGAAAAACGATGATGAAAAGAAATCGCATTATAAATGATTACTGATAAGATAATAGAAAATATTTTATTTTTTCGTATACAACAGAAACACAGTGTTTGCAAAGTGGAAAGTTATGATCTAAGTTTATTTTACTTTCAAGTTGAGATACCCATGTTGAAAACGAAATAAGACAGGTCCAATTTTAAATGAAAAGCCATTGGAACTAAAGCACTTGCTATAGAGCTAGATTAAGACTAAAATGATAGAGCCGATTCCTTTAAAAATGTTTCATCTCTGCATGGGACGAGTAAAGAATATTTTGGTGTATTGTTTAATGATAAAACATAAAAATTTGTTTTGTAAATTCTGTACATATTGAGTTGATTTCAAAGTACTGTGCCATTTTGATGTAACTTTAGCGATTCAACAAAAAACTTTGGAATTTATGGTAGACTTGTTCAATGACACGCTGAAAGTGTGTTAAAGAGTATTTTAAATAAACATTTTCTAGCTTATATATTGCAATTATAAAAAATACTATTTATGAGAATTACCCTATGTTCTCATAAATAGTATTTTTTATAATTGCAATATATATGCTAGAAAATGTTTATTTAAAATACTCTTTAACACACTTTCAGCGTAAATATGAAAAATACCTTGAATAATCTTCAATAACACTGCAATCTATCTCTGTATAAAATTTAATCGAGCTAAGTACATTCATTCAGTCCAAAATTGGCATTTGGTTAATGAGGTTTGTCAACACTAACGATAATTCATAGTTCTTATGAAAAAATAGTGGACATGTCGATTTCAAAAATCTTGTAACTATAATACAATTATATATTTTTCACAAGGATCATCTTCGTAATTATAAAGAACATATAGGAGAATACTTTAGAATTTAAATTCGTTAAAAAAATATAATATATGAAAAATGTAAGTATGATATTTTTATCGATGCCGCCCTTAGGATCAACATTTTTAAGGTTTTCCTCTAGTCGGCATATGGGTGAAAAATAATCACATTTCCGATCATTTTGGCTCAAAATTAAAAAAAATGTTAAATAAGTGCTCTAAATAACGATTCACTTATAACAAATTACTATTGAGTTATTTTACATAAATGAATTATTTAGCCATGCCGAGAATTGGATAAAAGGTTACCGAAGTCGGCACCATGTTTTATAATTGTAATATTTTAATAAATAAAATTATTTTATATAATTTTTTAAATACAACACAGATGGAAACATCCGATAATAATAATTTATTAATGAAAATAGCAGAAAAATCAATTAAATAAATAATTTCTGTTTAACTAAAATACGACATGCCGACAATTGGAAAAAAGTGCCGACTATTGGCACATAGACACTATTTTATTTAATTATTTAATTAATTATTATTATTTAATCTACATAATACAAATTATTTAAACAAATTTTTAGTGTATCAGAGAGTAAACAAAATTTGGAAACATATTCACCTATATACAATATTGTGAAAAAAAGTTCTCGAGGTGGTGAAACGTTTAAAATCCTTAAAGTGCCGACTATTGGTGCACTTACCCCATATACATTTTTTAATTTATTATGAAATAATAATATTAGTTATATTATTTTAAATTTTTTTATTAAATAGTAATTAGGTATACATTTTGCCAGTGATTACGATTGATGTTTTCAAAAACATAATAGTAGTCACCCATTACTACAATTACCAAAAAATGTAGCTGAAAATATTGACGTGGGTTATATCGTTATAATTCATAGTAGTATAATGAAGTTATTACATTTAGAAGCGCCGTACGATGGTTCACAAATCGATTTACCTGTCCAAACTGAAATGTTTGGTTGTCACGGAAATATGCTTTAGAGTGCCATGTTTTAGCCCATAGATACTTATGTAAACAATCCGTTCGGCTCCTTTTTAGGTCCAAAGAAACATGGGGTCTAAAATATGGCCTCATTGGTCATAAGGCTGATGAGGCCATCGTACAGCCCGAAGAAAAGTAAATTTTGTCATTTTATACGTATTTTTTCACATTTCAACCGCTGTAGCTCAGTCAATCCTCAACCGATTTACCAAATATATATCTTGTTTGAAAGGAAAAATTATACTCTTCGAAAGAAAACAAGAATAATATAAATCTGTTAAAAAGTAAATAAGTTATTCGAGTTTTAAATTGAAAATCCATGAAACCACGTTTTTCTCTATATTTACCGTTATAAAATAAATTTTCGAAGTAACCCAGAAAAACCAAAGGTATTTTCGTGGTCCAGAGACTCCAACTAAACAGAATTGGTACATTAGAACCCCTGCAATTTTTTTTTTATCTTGTAGCACAGTGTTATCATCGCTATCAGTCTTGTTGAAATTCAGATCCTCTAATTGTTCATTTTGTTTTAATATGCCACTCAAAGTTTGACTTTTAAGGCTATATTTTCTAGTGGCGGACGTTGACGTCTCAAGGCCACACACACTATCAGAAATAGCTGTTTTCTATGGCATTTTCGTCAATACAAACACGTTTGGTCTTATATTTGTAATTTCGAATCATATTAATATAATATATTTAAAGACAAACTCAAAACTTTTAAGGAAATAATATAGCACTAACTTTATATGGCGGAATGTGTCCCACTTTGAAACACTGAATGTACGTACCCCGATAGATTTTTTTATTTTTATTTTTGACCTCAAGCTCGATAAGCCATCTATAATTTATTGTTTTAATTTTTTTTTCTATCGGTCTTCTAAAAACAATATATTTTTAATTATTTTTAAAAGAATGTACATTGTAATTAACGACTTTTTAATAATACTGCCTTAAAATTTTAAATGTTTTTTACACGAAATACTTACGAAATGGAATGGAAATATTACCAAAACATCTGTAAAAATACAAAAACCGTAAATCTAAATAATTTTATTAGCTAGAGATTAAAAACTTTGCAACAGTTATGTACAGTGAGAGATTCATATCGAAAACGCGATAGCCGAATGTGTCCCAGTCTCCCCTATGTTTAACCATCTTTCCAAACATCTATCTCAAATGTCAATTTATTGTATTATCGAATATTTGTCACCAATTGAAGTCTACTCAAAACATTCCTCTATTGCAACCTCAAACTTGTTTCAAACATATACTGATCAAAAATAACGTTCCCATGATTATCATTAAGCAACAACATCGGAACTGTGAACATTTCCTTTCCTTCATTATCAATGGAAATAATTAATTTTCACATCTCCACTATTTCCCTAGCAGACAACTTGAATTCAAATCAAGGCAAAACAAAAACTTTAATTTCAATGCGACAATTTACAAAACGACGCCATAAAATTTATTTGTTTAACAAATTTTGCAAAATCAAAATCTTCACTTATATGCTAATAACAAAAATACATACACTTATTATATATAGAGCTACACATACATTCATACATACACTGTAAAATTTGTATTGTCGAAAACAATAATGAAATGAAAAAAAAAAACAAAAACAAATCAAGTCTAAATGTTAGTCAATACGAAGTAATACTGAGAATTTCACATCACATGATTTTCTTTTTTTTCGAAAATTGGACGAGCAAATAGTCATTTCTGACAAATTAAAATATGGCTTGATTGAATGGGGAATGAGAAAAAAAACATTTTTTTAAATATTAATAAATAGGGTTATGTATTTACACTGACGATTTGGGAGATGTTGGATTTGTCAAAAGAAACCTTGATATCTGTACCAAGATTTTAGACACGTGCTGAAAGGATAATTGGCTCGGCTTCAATTTCGGCAACTTTTTCCTTCAGTTCCTGCTCCTCTTCTTTGAGCTGTTCTATATTTTTGGCTGTGGTCGATTCAGTTTCTTTGTTGGCAACAACAGCAATTGTCGAAGAAGTTGTTGGACTGATTTCTGCTGTTGGTGTGGTTGATTCGGGAGTGGTGGGTGTGACTTTAGTTGATTCTGTAGTGGAGGTGGTGGATATGGCTGCAGTTGATGATTCTACGGAGGTGGTGGCGGTTGTAGTTGTTTCTGTAGTGGTGGTGGTAGATGATTCTGTGGCGGGAGTAACAGTAACTGGTGCATTTGTATTAGGCACTGATGTAATTTCCGTTTTAGAAATGCTAATTTTAGTTATTTCCGGTACTTTTTCACCATTTTCCGTTCGGGTATGTTTTATTTCAAAGGCGGGTATTAAAGGAAACCGATTACCATGATGGGGCTGAATGGCGATACGATCGATTATGATATGAGCCGGCACACCAGCAATTTCAGGAACCCTTTCCGTCGTTTGTAAAATTACCCTACGCTCTTCACCTTCCACGGGAATTGTCGTTGTTGCTGTCTCAACACTAGGTGTAGATTCGGTTACTAAGTTCCGTTTGTTCACATCATGATCATCTACTTTCTTTTCAACAGTTGGGCGAATTTCTGGAATTACGGCAGACTGATCATGTGCCACATTGTGGACACTTAAAGCAGATGCAAACATACTTCCTTCCATTTCATTGATCAACGATTGTAATGAGATTTGTTTCAATGCCCTGTCAGGATTCTCCTCATAAATGCGTCTCTTTACAATGTCACTTTCTTTCGGTGGGTTTCCGAGTTGGGCAAAACTCAAAAGACCAGCAAATAAATCATTGTGGGGTTTTGATTGATCTACGGGTGCGGAAGATACCCTGGCCACAAGCAAGCACACCACTGCCAATAATCTAAAGCTCTCCATTTCAGTCGGAACGGTAATACAACCGTAATTGTTCACTGAGAATTTTTGTCGAATGTTTCGCTTCAGCGGTGACTGTGATAATGACAAATATTGCTGGTGATGCGAAGCTTTTTAAAGCCGCTTCATCATTTGACTACTGTTCGCCAGATTGAAGTCAAGCGAACAGACGCAGTATCAACTGCTTTAAACTGCTGATGCGAGGCTAATGTGGGTAGATTATGGCTTTGTCCCAAAGGTGCGAAATGTTTGTGTTAATAGAGATTTCATTTGAATTTTGACAAAAAATACAAATTTTTATGTTTTTAGGATATCTACTCGTACAGTTATTTCTTTTGATGGTACTTCTTCATGTTTTTATATAATTAGTATCTACTTTGTGTGGTACAGTGGTGCCTAGTTAAATGAAGTGGTTAAATATGAATTGGACCACTCACAAATATGGCACTTCCGCAATCACTTACACGACTTTCAGAGGCAAAATCAAACTTTAAATGTTAAATAAATCAAAACCCATTACTTTTTTACAATTATCCCTTAATACTTTTTGTAGAACTTTAGGAGTACTATCAGTGGTAAAAAAATTGAGGACCTCCGGTTTTTATCTTTCGAGATAAAGCCACAAAAGAGCGGTCACTCACCCCACTTCAAATATACATGACTTACGACATAATTGTGTGAATATTTTGAACTTTTTATATTTTTTACATGAATAAGATTTATCTCCTACTTAATACTTATTAAGGCTACACTCTTGGTATATATTTTGAAATTAATAAACCGAAATAAAAGTAAATCGTAGATCTACTTGACAAGCCAACATTTCCACCAACGTTAAACTATGTTTTATATATCAATTCATAAACATATTATATATATATATATATATATCAATTGGAGTGTCCGATTTGACCCAAAATATCATTGAGATTTTTTTTTTGTTTTAATTAAAATATCAATCCATATTTGGAGGTATTACTTTACCACATTTGTCGTGTGAATATAGCATCATCAATTCAGCTAATAATATTTATGGGAACAATTCGGTTTCAAATTTAACATTTTTTCAATCTTTATTTAGAACAGTGGTCAAATTTGTGATATTAATTTATGTTTTAATTGTGATAATTAATAAAAACCAGCGAATATTGAAAAAATGCGGATTATGTTAGAAAAAACGAGTAAAATAGGCATGACTGTAGCAACGGATATTACTATTACAGTAGATTACTTTTATAATGAACACCCGTTACAATGAAATTTCGCGAAGTTTTAATACTTATTTTACATAAAAATCTTTACTCTTATACCGAACTACGGATATAGCCAACTTTTATTAAAACGAATTATTTTTTCTGTACCAACTTTCAGTTTTCTTTTATTTTAAGTCTGTTATAAAGTTGCTATAAATATACATCATATTTAACGATTGACATTCTCAAAAAAGTTAATTTGTAAGTTAAGGCAGGTACACATTTTCAAAAAATATTTGTTTTTATACTGTTTTTTCACGAATGATCTCTCACATTGAATGTAATGAAGAACATTTATTAAATACATTTTTTAGTTTAAAATCTGATATAAATTAACGTATTTTTCCTGCTAAGCCTTTGTTTTGCCTTACATTGGATATAACGAACTTGCTTCGCCCCCACAAGTTCGCTATAACCGTACTTGACCGTATTTTTTTTATCGAAAAGACAATAACCTAAAAATAACACCAACAGTTTCCAGTTGCTGGCTATATTTATTGGGTGTCAAATTGTTTTGCAGCCGAGTCGGAGAATTTACATATACACACATTTATACATATATGTGTAATAAATATGATTAAATGGAGTGGGAAACTATTCGTTGGTTCAGATTTATTTATTGCTATTAAAATAGCACGCAGCTTCAAAAGACAACGTATTTAAAATTGTACAATTTACGTCATAATTAATTTATTTTAAATATTGTTGTTGTATTTTTTTTTTTTTTTTGATTTACCTTTAATGAGATGTATGTTGTATTCAATTATTAAAATAAAATTGGTAATAAGAACCACAAGATAAAACTGGATCATTTGTTTAAGTCAATCAATTAGGAACTTGATTTCATTGGGGGGTTTTTAACAACGAAAATCAATATTTAATCCTCACACAACAATATTTACACGAATACACACAGTATATGCATACATGCATATATAACAATGTATGTATATTTCAGACTTGACTATGTGTAAATTAAATGTTTAAGCTCGGGAATTTTCCATTGTTTTAAGAAATAAAAAAAAACAACAAATATAAACAATACAAATCAAACGGCATTCACCAAATAAAACAAATACTTCACTGCCATTCAATAACTTTGATTATAGGTTGACAATTGGAACATATTTATTTGTGCGGTTGAATTCTAATAAAAAGTCATGGATTTACGAAATCTTAAAAAAATGTATTTTTGATCTTCCATTTGAGCCCTTGATGTCTTCTTTGATTATTCGTATTTACACGATAATTGTTGATCATACGTCATGGTGTACAAACATAATAAAGAAATTTGCTTTTGATATTGAACGTGAATTGCACGATAGCCCAATTATTAATATTACACGGCAATGAATAACAAAGCACAGTTTGCCCATTTATCTTTTGGATATTCAGAAAAAATAGAAATATATAGAAATTTATGTAATTTTGACATTCCCAATTTTTTGGAGAAATCACATCCTTGCAGAACAATTTTAAAATAAATTCGGAACCAGTCTCGGTTATTTGGAGGTTTCAAGCGTATTTTCGCACCAATGTCCTCTAATTTATTAAAACCTATTTGAAGAAAATTTTCAATGTCTCGCCCATTTTTAAGTTTGTAATTTGGCATTCACATTTATTAGTGAGTAGAAACGATTTGAAATGATCAATATATATTTTATTTGTTATCCTTGATCAGTTTAAACGACACCACTCGATTTATGGCATTTTTAATTTTTGAGTCGCATTTTCCAACCGATGATTCATTAATTTGGAAATCCAGATACAAAACCTCTTGGCAGAACATGTTCAATGTTGATCTATAATAACATAGTCCCCAATGATTTGCAAATCATTTTTCGAATATTATTGGCCAGGTTTTTTCACTATACCAAATATAAGTAAGTGATCTGGGAAGACAATTGACAATGGGGTCCATGTTTTGATCATTTAAGGATCCCATCGATTTTAGCTATTTGAAATAACCCTTTTATTTTAAATTACTGTCTAATTATTGGATATAGATTATAGTCTATAAAAAAAAACTAGGGCGCATTTGGTACTTTTTTAGAGCTCTATATCGCAGTACTTACTCAACAGATATAACAACTTTATGGCTGGTTAATGTCCTCTGATACTTAATTATAAAAAATAGTACCAAAAACATATAATAAATTTGTATTAGTTAAAATTTTTAGCAGTTTTGTAAAAAAGTCAAAATCGTGGAATGTGCCCCTACCTAGGGTAGCTTCGACATTTGATGGGGCAAATTCGGCACAATAGTCATAGCTTTGTAATTATCACCGCTATCAGCCTGGTTGAAATTCAAATCCCTAAATGTTCTATTTTGTTTTAAGATGCGACACAATGTTTTCACGTTTAAGGCTATGTTGGGGATTTTGACGTCTCAAGGCCATTACCACAACCAGAAATAACACAATCGAAGGAATGTGCCACAATTTAAAATGCCGAATCAAAGGTACTTTCTAATGTTTTTTTTTTTAATTTTATTCTTCCAATCTTCTAAAAACATTATATTTTTAAATATATTTATCAGAATAAACATTGTAAGTAACGACTTTTTAATAATTCTGCCTTAAAATCTTTAAAGTTTTATACACGAAATACTTACGAAATTGTATGGAAATATTACAAAAACATCTGTAAAAATACGAAAAAATGCATGTAAATAAGCTCATTAGCTAGAGATTTCAAACTTTGCGACACTTATTGTTTTTATACTCGATACCTATGGATCAAAGCTAGTGATGTACAATGAGAGCTTCATATCGAAAACGCCATTGCCGAATGTGCCCCTATGCCGAAGGTGCCGCAGTCTCCCCTATATGCTTTCCAATATCTGTATGACAATGAGCAACATTTTGTCTACATCATCTTTGAACAAGCGATATTTTAGTGAATTTCTTCAAATTGGTTAATATTATTTTGTACCTTCTTCTATACTCTCCTTGCTTTATACTAAAATAATATTTAATTCTCCAAAATAGTTTATTATTAATTTAAGTTCAAGAAACGTTGGACCTTTTTGATATAGTTCGGTTCATTTTCAGTATAATTCCAATATATATATATATATATATATTAATTTCTTTATATTCCAATATAACCATCTTCAGAGATAACGTTTTATAAAAAAATATAAAATGATAAAATATGAGCTATAGACAAGATACTTGGAAGATCAAAAATTGTTTAGTATTCTTTTCAATAAAACTATTTATAGATAACAAAATAAAAAATATTTATAGAAAATATAATAGAATATAATTACATTCTGAAGTAATATGGATGCCATAAAATATATTATTTATGAAATTAAATGATATCGCAAATCTTATTACTAAATATACTTTACACATGTTAAAAACATAATCAGTAACAACAGGTAAAAATTAATATATTAATATCAGACAATAAAATTGACTTGTATTAAAAAAATATTTACTTCTATAACACAATAGCGACTGCTTATTTATACATATAGCAGACACAATTCCAAAAACTGTTAAATTCAAATTAAACAATTTTGCTGAAAAACACTGAGTCAGCAGATATAGTCAGGCTGCAGAACATTCGTTCCGACAACAAGTTTAACTTTAATATTTATATCACTTCATATAGTGGCGTTTTTTAAATTTTCTTACTAAAAATATGTGTGTGTGCCCTATACTTAAGGAAAACAAACATATTAACAAGGGCAAGGAAACAATACAAAAGTTAGTGGACAGAGAGTGTTATACGTTTGTTTTGTTTTTCGCCAGGAAACACGCTCCAAATTATCCGCAATTAATTAGCATATTCGGTCAAAGTAAACAACAGCGTCGTCGCACCTCCCTCTCTCTATCATTTGCTTTACTTTAAATTCAAGTTATAACTTGTAGATAGAGCACCCTCCCTTTGAACAGTGATCGTCGACGTCGTCACCATTAAAATCTAGCACTTTTTCTTTGAAACCACTTCTCCACGTTTCACAGCCAGATTGCCAATTAACAGCAGCAGGGATGTTAATTGTCCGCATGACGGCCTGACTATTACTCTTTGTATGGACCGATACATTCTCAAAACGTCAACATCGGTTCGGCTGTGTGTGTGTTTATGACACATTGTTGTCGGTGTTAAAATAGTATTGATCCTATATAAAAGTCTGTTTCATTATAAGGGTGATCTCAATACATTGTGCATTTCGGTCTGTGCTGGTGGCTAGGAGAAACAAAACTAATCGCTTTCTTTAAATATTTCCGATTCTGGTGGTTGTAGTACTGTTTTGTGATTGTTCTTATCGCAGGACTACTAAGGATAACCAACCGAGAAGTAAACAGCAACAGCTGAGTTTGTGGAACACAAGTGGATTAGAAAATAAATCAGGAGTACAAAATGAAAAACTACCACGTAATAGCTGTATGGTGTTGCCTAGCCACCTTGGCCACATTTAGTTGGTCATTGCCAGTTCTCGACGCCAGTTCCGGCATAGATAATGACACCATCGAGGCTTTACATGCCAGTCTAAATGACACACCAAAGAATCTGTAAGTGACATAAACATTACCAGTATTAGTAAGTCGCTCTAATCATGATCTTTCTTGCAGATATGTGGTCAAGGCTGTTGTCTATGAAATTGGTATTCTCACTGAAGTTGGCGAAAATGACACCAGTTTTGAATCACAGGAGCGAGTTGACTTGACATTCTACGATACACACACCAACAATAGTCACATCGATTTGGGTAACATTCCACTTCCCATACAGACGAATGTTACGGGTCAAGTTTTAACCGGAATAGCACCAGTTAACATTGGAGCATTTAGCAGCCCCGCAGAACTGCTGAGTGCGCTTCCATTGACGGGTAGCATTGTGAATATCACACACAGCGACACTGCTTTCTATCAGCTAACAAAGTCCAGTACCAATGAGGATGAGAAACCGAAAATTATCAGTGAAGATGAATTGGCTAACTTGCCGCAAGTGGCATCGCTGTTTCCCTCGGCGGGTCTACACTCAACAGCTTCCAAAACCATAACTGACGAAGATGATGCATCAAATTCTTTAGAGGTTAACTGAGCAGAAATTGTACAATTTTTACAATTTTTTTTGTATAGAAAGTAGAGTTTAGAAAAAGACTGCAAAACAAATAATTGGATATTAATTTTTTGTATAAAATAATAGAGCAATAGATATTGGCTGGTACAAGTTAGCTGAGCTACACATACATACATCCATGTAGTTTTTGTTAACTTAAAATGTATATTGTAGATCAGTATACATAAACACACATACATACAGACATGTTACAAATATACATATATTTTTACACAAATTCTGAAAAAATTCTATTAATTTTTTTCGATACATTTACGGCTTGAATATTTATTAGATGATTAAACAATAATTTACCTAAAAAATATAATTTTTGGTGAGCATATTTAGTTGAAAGATCGATACTCAATGATATTAACATACAGTAAAATCTTGAATTGAATTGGTTTATTTTTTATTAATTTCGTGATCATTAAAATAGTTTTGTTTCTTACTAAAAAATAAAATTATTCATTGGAACAATATGAACTTTAAATATAGTGGGTACAATTTTCAATAAAATAGGTAACTAAAATATTCAACTAGTTAATAAATAGATGTCCATAGGTTATATAGGGTTATTCATTTCGTGGTAAAAATAAATAAAACACATGACATATTTTTTCATGATATATCTTTTTATTATAAAGTTTAAAAATTGACATTGTGTGTGAAACACTTCACTATTTAAATGATCTGTTGCAAGCAATGATTCCTTTGGGCCGACCACTTTTAGACACAATTTGGGCAGTGTCTCAGACATAACTTGTATGTTTTGCTCAAGAATTGAATATTTATCTGAATAAACATAAAGGGGCCATTCGATATCGCCACGACGATAAAGCCATTTTCGCTCGAGTTGTTTGGCAAATGGCACCGACTTTTTGAAACTACATATTATCCAAGTCGTATTCTTCAATTGCAGGCAAAAAGTCGGTTAGCATATGACCACCTTTACCATTAGTCACCTATGTTATTTTGTCACATAAGTGTGTAATGTACATTTATCAAAGCTCGGTCAGCCAAAACTTAACATTCTTTTAATATATTGTTGGGTAATAATTGGTATGACAGAAATTTCCATCACTATGCAAAGAAGGGTTAAAGCTCGATATGTGCCTGTGACAAGATCACAATTTTTTTGTATGCGTCAATGTCGGACTTCCAACTGTAAAGAAAAGCAGTCATAAAAACTACTTTGTTAACTGCTAATTTTTTTTCACTGTAAACGTTTGTTGTTGTTGCAGCTGTCCTATTTCTTTTACCCAATGAGCTAATGGGCAGACGTTGGCCAAGTAGGACTCGGGTCGTTTCAGTTCGTAGACCACTATGTCGTGGAAACGGTAAAAATTTATAAATATCAGTTCTTCAAAAATTCAAATGCCTTTCTCAATTCGAACTCATTCACTGAACTTTGTAAAAAGACAACACTGAGTAGTATTTTGTAGCAATGAACATAAATTTTGACACTAAGATTTCTCTCAGTGCTCAGGGCTCAGTCGACCCGATCTTATAAATAAAAAAACTCTGAAATATAAGTTTTAAAATGTTTGCTTTTTATTATATTATTTATAGTATTAATAAGAAGATTTATTTATTTACTCAAAATTAAAAATAATATAAATTATGTGTAATAATATAATTATAAATTGTTTACCTTTAGTGTGTATACCTTATATTTTTACTTAAATTTGTTATTGTGTTTTTTTATTTTTGTTTCTTTATGAATAATCTAAAGATGTTTTATTTCACATTTTCAAATTATTTTCTCTTATCAATCATATAGACAGATATATGTATATATGTAGACGTTCTCTCAATTAATATTTATATGTAATATTCATAACTGATTACAAATTAAAAGAGGAGGATACGTGCATTTTTATGATCTGAATACATGTTGCAGATGCAGAAGAGAGTGTGGGTCTTGTTTTGTCCCAAATTGTTTCTATAAACAAATGCATGGTTATTAATCAAACGCGTGATTTTTTCATGTATTCATTGTATGCATAATTTTGCGTTTATTGTTTTATTTGCCATTTTAGTTTGTTGTTGTTTTTTATAGTCTACGATTCTATGCTTATTATGTATTTAACTAATATACAAGTACCACTTGTGGTTTTGTAACTTTTCTTTTTTGTTTTTGTAATTACTGTGTTTTATGGTTCTTTCCTCTTCTTCCACATAGAATAAGATCAAACAAACGAGAAATGGTTTCGAATCTGAAATTCATCAGTGTGTGCTTAAGAAAGAATCTAAATAAAAATGGAAATTGTGCAAAAATAAAATTACAATTTTGACATATGGAACTTCTGTGGTTGGTGGTTGGGGTATTGGCATTGAGATAAAATAAGAAGTGGATGGAGATGGAGGAAACACCAACAATGTCTGTTTTTATGTTATTCATGGGAGTAAACATTTCTATATTTTACACAGCAGCCTTTTTGAAGTTGTTGAATATTCCAGAGCATTGTTGTATGGAGTTGCTAAAACTATTATTTATCTTTTACATATAATGTAGAGAATTTTCAATTGGTTTTTCTTTTGTTAAAGTATATCGTGTTGTGATCAATGTTCAGCCCTTAATAAAGCGACATTTTGGCGGCCTCCTCGCCAACACATTTTCGCTGCGCCTCCATGTATGTATTTGTTTACCAAATCTTAACTGAAACATTTAATCTGTAAAATAAGAAATGGGATTCGTTGAAAGCGTTATTTCAGGTTTGATTTGTTTGAACACTCACCAATAACATGAGTATCCATGTTAGAAATGCGCGATTTTGATGCAGGTTGTGGTATTATTGTTATTTCGTCGTTTATTTTTAATGGCTTCAACAGAGAATCGTTTGCAGCCGATAAACTATTACGACCGCTACCACCTGCCGACGAATTTGTAGCTGGTGAATTCTTTTTGCCATCCATAGCCTTTTTGGCCACTGTACTGTGAGCAGTGTAGACATGCGTCTCAAACTGTTTATACATGCCAAAGGTGGCCGTACAAACGGTACATTTATAGGATAGATGAGCTGGTTTCAGTGTCATATGGTGGTCTCGCGACACATGGTTCAATAGCTTCCATTGATACATCTGAAAATAAAGGGAACCAAGGGTAAGTATAAGTGATTCCAAACTGAAATATCTTGTTTTCTTGTTTTTTTTTTTTTGTATTTTTATAAATACTTACTCTGCCGCATACAGGGCATCTTCCTGCATCTTTGCCTTTATTGGCGGCTTCTTGCATAGAGCTTGTCACCAAACCATGAGAGCCCAACAAGTGACGCTCCAAACCCTGATCTGTGAAGAACCTAAACTGACACTTTTGACAATTCAATGGTGGTCTATTATAAATCATCTTAGGGTGGATCTAGAATGGGATATATACATTAATATAATCCATAGTATTGGAGAGGGTCGTATTACCTTCACTTTGTGCATCCACTGCATATGATTACGCAATTGTTCTAAATCTTTTATGTAACCATCACATATCTCGCATATAACAAACTGAGCCTTGCCACCGGCTGGATTTTGACCCGGCTTCAAACCGGGTGGTGGTACTTTGCTGGTAGTAGGCGACTGCGCTGACGATCCAGCTGCTTGACGAGGTAGTGGGGTTATGGAAATGCTAGGTTGGCCCGTGCTAAGTTGTTTTTTAGACGATGCTGCACTGCCTGGCAGAATTTGTCCTGCGATATTTCCTAGTTGGTAGTTGTTTGGTAGAACAACATTCGTAGCTGCAGGATTTCGGACTTGGTTAGCGGCACGAATCATTGCCCCAGTGGATGGAGGTATATTCTTATTTCCCACGGGCATTTGTGGCGCACGTCCCCTGAGCTTGTTGGCTGCAGCAGTTTGGGCTGCCAAGGCTGCAGCTTGCAGATTCCTGGCCTGCTGCTGCTGTTGTATAGTAGCCAAAGCTGCTTTTTGGGCAGCGGCCTGTGCTGCCATTGCCTGGTAAGCGGTGGCTGTCCCCACCAAACCATGTCTGGGCTTAATACGTGGAATTTTAGCGGGGGCTTCCCAATCGTTGGGAGGTGCCAGATTGATTTCAGGCCGGAATTTCTTAGCACATACGGGCTGATGGCGAGCCAATTTAGCTTTGCCGTTATCTTCAAATCCACAGTTGGGGCACTGATGATAGGGCAAGGGCTTAATGAGTCGAGCTTTGATGTTGTGGACTGCTTCCATGTGGTAGACAATTTCTGTAGCATTTCGTATTTCAAAAATACAGAAGTTGCATTTGTACATGGCGCCATTCATGTGAGGAGTTTCGTAGTGGTTCGCCATGGCAAGTGCAGATTCGGATTTGAAATTACAGAACTCACAGCGTTTCATGTTGAACTTGAAGGGTGCGTTCTTTTTCTTTGAGGCCTCCATATTAGCGGTGAGTGCTGCAATTGCCTTTTCGAATTCGGCTGTATTGCGACCCAGACTCTTGCGCATTTTTCGCTTCTGAAGACGTATCAAGTCATTTTGTACATATTCCTGAACTAGGCCAACACCAATGTCCATAAAAAATTTACCCAGAGGACTTTCGAAATAGTTCTCCTGGCCAGGTTTAGCAGGTACACTTGAATTGGTGCCTGTTGCTGCTACCGCAGCTGCTGGTTTTATCGCTCCTTTCAGAGCGGATATATCATCAGATGCTTCCTTTATTAGGACTTTTGTACGAACACCCGATTCCGAATCATCATCATCGTCTTCTTCGGAATCTTCGTCTTCCTCTGACCAAGAATCATCGTCGCCTTGCCCTCGTTTCTTCTTTTTGGCACTTTTTTCTTCGCGATCTTCTTTGTTCTGTTCGGTCATCATGTCAAATTCATCGGTTTTGTCCACCACCGCCAAATCTTCTTTCGTAAAAGCGAATTTGTCTTCCAATTCTTTGACGACATTTTTAATTTGGTCAGAGGGAGGTTTTTCATAGATATACGGAACTATAAATGAGGGGGCCTCTAAGACAAACATATCGTCTGTCAGGCCGGGCAAACAATTGGCATTGGTTGTGCTATTCAAACCGGGCAACATAGGCATGCCGGGTATAGACGAGGCTGCCGCTACTGTGGCCGCCGCTATGGGCGCTCCTACGGGTACAAGTTTTGGTGGCCCTGTTACTGGCGAGGCGGGTGTTATATTTACAGGATATACAACAGCGTTTTTATTTGCTGCATCTGATGCGGGACCCATCAAAGATCTAGCATCTTTAATACTCAACTGTCCCTGGGTTGGTGTTAGACTATTACGTTGCCGCTTGTTGGGGGGCTGAGATAGGTCATCTTGACCACCAGTAGCATCCAATTTACGTTTCGAGAGATCATTCGGCGCTGGCGGTGGACTATCGTCTTCTATGACCACACAATCATCGTCGTCATCATCTTCAACTACTGCGGGAGCTTTCGATGTCGCATCAGGCGTCTTGGAGGGAAGCGGCGTAGTTGATGTCGATAAATTTGTCGGCTTCTCGTTTTCATTTTCCGAGTCCGAACCAATGACAACTGCGCCATCAGAATCTTGTGCTTGAGGTTTTTCTTTGTTTTGCGAATCCTTGGTATTTGAGGGCTCGGACATTTCAATATCGGAGTCATCACCCAAATCTACAACACCATCTGATTGCTTCTCTTCCGCCGAAGCAGAACCATTTTGGCTCTGTTTTGAATTTGGTACAGCCAATGGATCGGGATTTGTGTGACTGGAATTATCATTGGAAGTGTCATCGACATGATTTGCCGATCCATCTGCACTGATAGCGCCCTCGCCATCTTCGCTGTGGTGTGTCTTTGATGCTGCATGACTGTCATTTGTGTTTGTGTCGTTGTCCGAGTCTCGAGCATGATTTGAAGAATGCGTTTTTCCTGCATCTGAACTATTTACACTATCACAGTTTTGTGATATACTTTCGCAGGCATTTGATGAGTCCTCGTTTGCGTTGACGTTAGCCGATGTCTTTGAGGGAGGTTCTGTTTTGCTATTGCTATTTTCATCACGATCTCTAATGTCAGCTTCCGCAGCACCGCCACCTTCTCCAGTATCTGTTGAAGAAGTTATCTGTGAATCGTCTTCTTCAGTATCAACACCATCCACGTCCATACTTTCACCCTTGTTTCTATTTGGATTTAGTTTGGTTGTCTCCTGGATTGTCTGACTGTTGCCACCCTCGTCGTTGACGTTTGTAGGACTCCCATTTTCTTGGCCACCACTTGTTGTTGTTGCCTCAGAATGTTGTAGGTTAGCCGCTGATGATAAACCTGTACCTTCCGGCATAGAAACATCAACTTCAGTCATATTCTAGAATTGACGGTGCCAGAGATTTTTTGTAGATTTCAGTAATGTACAGGAGATATCCGATGTCTTTAAATACCGATGTTGAGATTAGGAAAACTGTAATTAGAAAAGAAACATGTGTTAAAAAATATAATATTTTAATATACCTTAATATTCGTCGGTGTTCTTAAACTCTATGACTTTGCAATATCACTTTTTCCTAATTTTGCATTGAAAATAATAACAACATACATATGTATATGTATGGTTTGATAAATCATAATACAAAAATAAAAGATAAAAATTAACCCTATTAACAGTTTTTAAACGTGAATGATAAAGATTTCTAATTTGGCGCCAAAAATACCGATGACCTTTAATACATATTAAGTTTAACGGCATGTACATTAGAACTTTTTGTCAGATTAACCTCCTCTGTGAGGATTTATATGACTTTAATGCAATGGAATTGACAATTAAAATCCACTGTATTTATTAAATCCAGTATAATGTAATTTTAAATGTACGATTAAAATAAATGCTTAATAATCAATAATCGTACTTCCAAAATTGGTGTTTTCTTAAATTTTTATTTGGAAACTCCAAGCAGAGAGATCATGGTTAGTGTGACTAAATTTCTTCGCTGATTATATATCCGAATTATATCTCTTCAGTCGTATATGTGTACAAATACAATTATATAACTATTATGTACATTGGTGTATATAAACAATATATATATATATATAGCTTCAAAGCACATTGGGTAGTAGACTGTCCATTTGTAAAGTTTGCGACCGAACAAAACATATAACTTTTTTGTTGTACAAACATACATACACATCGACCGACTATACGACGTTTTGAACAGCGTGTTTGAACTGACATTCTGACGACTCAGTTGGTGTTCAGTCTTTCGAAATAGTGTTACAAACAGTCGATCCAACAAACGGTCGGACGGACGAACAGACGGAATAAGTAGCGAAACAAACGGCCAGACCGACAAATTGTTAAACAAGCGACATAAGAAAACATAACAAACGACGAACATGAAGCTAAAGCGCACATAGCAAGAATATTGTTTGCTGGTTTCGCTATAAGTGAATCAGTCAGCCAGCCAACCAGCCAGCCAACCATTCAGTCCGAAACAGCGTGTGGAGTAAAATAAAGAAACTAGAAGAAGAACGGAACGGAGCGCACTAGTAGCATGATTAGCGGTGTGCAAGAAGAAGACATTGCCGAGTATGTGTTTTTGCAGCTTCTAGCTCCGGATGACTACAACAACTCCCATCCAAATACCTACAACGTGGTTCCAAAAGTTAATTTTTGTGGTATGTGTAATAGTGGTAATGGTTAGATTATTCATACCCTGAATGATGTTAAATGCATCATCAGCAACGGCAAATTTCAAAACATGTCCATAGTGTGGGTTCGAATCATGTTAAAAACTGCCATCAATGCCTCCAACCTCCACAATGTATGTCCTGGTTTGAGGGCTGGCAATCACCAAGTCATCGAATGCATGGAAAGAGAATTGATAATGGCAATGTGCGTTGGAGAACTTTTTGGCTTCGACCTCCAAAAGAAGATAGGTTTGCTTGGTACTGATGTGGGGAAGGAGAGGCGTAACAAAAATAATTACAACAAAGTTTTTTGACCGGCTAACGGTAACGCATAGAAAGTTTCCGTGATATCAAAACACGACACACAACACTCTTGAGAACCAACAAACAACTAAAGGTTGCCAAAATAATCAAGAGCAGCATTGAGTACAAAAACCGCCGAGAGCCAGCCACCAACCTTCTGTCATTTACAATGAGAGAAATAGAGAGAGGAGAAGCGCGTGAGAATATATGGTGAGTGAGTACGACTGTCTGTCAGTATATCCGGCAGTTGTAAGTGTTGTATTTGAAAGGTTGCTTAGGAAAAAAATTGAATAAAACAGAGTTACCAGATGCCCTATTTTTATTTGAATCTAAGTCTGGGTTTTATATTTAATTTCATGCAAAAGAAAAAAAATAAATAAATACTATTTCCAAATTCATTACCCTGATGATTCATTTGTTTCAGTATCTAACAAATTAAGAAGTATAAAAGTACATTTACTTATGACCGATTTTAAATCAACTCGATTTACAAGATACAGAAAACATTCCTACCGTTTAGACATAATTATTGACATATACATGATTGAATACACAAATGTTCATTTACACAGGTAAACTTGTGAATAAATGTGGAAAGTCTCATTTTTTAGCAACATTATAACACAATTTGATCTGTTGCTGAACCTACTCTGTACTCAAAAAGTTGTATACGTTTTCAAATTTATACGTTTTAAATTTACGAAAATCGTTTTGGATTAATGTAATATTCTTGCAGGTTCTGAAACAGACCAATGACTGTCACTTTTCTTGATTAAGAAAAATATTTAAAATAATTTGTTGTTTGCAATGCTCCACTGGTATTCCTAAACATTTTAAGGACACATAAACCTTCCTGTACGCACTTTCAACATATAAGGTATGTACTTTCAACATTGGGGTTTATCATTTGTCGTACTATCACAAATAGTACGAGTTGGATACGTACAAAGTTGTGTTCCAGAAGGTGCAATACACATAGTATTTTGCAAGACAAGTGAATATAAATATTAAAATGGTTTTATTTTTCAAATGAAACCTTTTCAATTTAATGAATCAAGTAGGGCTTCCTATTTTCAACTCAAAATTATATTTTTTAGAGTATATATATAACAACTTATACAATCATGTATGTCATCTTTATTTTTAATGTACGACTTCCCAAAGTATATATATATATATATATATATATTTATTATTTATGCCCGGTAACCTTCACAATTATAAATAAATATAAATTTTGTATAGCTCCATATAACATAATCTACCAATTTTCATTATTTTAAAGAATCGAAACAAATATTCAATGGTATTATGGAATTTAAATGGGGAAGATAACACTAACAAGTGTAATCATTGTTAATAAATTTGGCCATCATATAACAATTTTGAACATCATATATATATATATATATATATTAACGGCCAAAACGCCACCGAAAATAGTATTTAATAATTATAGCATAATTATGTAAGAACAAAATCCCTTTACAACTAAAACATACAACATGTACTATTACCGTCGATTATCTCATGGATACAAAACTGTACCTTTTCAGAGCAACACTGCGGTAGTTAGCAGCAGTGTTTGCTCCAAACAACACATTTTAAGAACTTCACCACTGAGGGTTGTTTTTACATTTAATCGTGACAATCAACAGAGGAACAAACGAGAGCCATCAGCAGTTGCTAAATATTAAGAGAACACAGCTTCTTTGGACGATAGCAAGTCAAGAGAATCTCATGGTTCTCTTGATGTTGTTGGAAATGTTTTGTTTGAGTATTCATCCCATAAACAAACAACGAGATACACCAAATGTCACTAAAAGATGGAATAGAATTGGAATCAACAAAACATATTCAACAATTTTGTTGTGTGTTTGAACGCCTAGCATACAACAACAAAACGCGACAACGCTGCCAAACAAAATGTACTGCTCTGAACCGCATAAACCAAACAACCAACCATTCACCACGCATTGCATGCACACCTACCCGCCGCCACTACACCAAATTGCCAAGAATATGGTAAACAAAACAAAACCGATGAACATGCTAAACGAAAACGGCGGAAACCTAAATAAGAACACACAAACAAAGACTCGTCTCGCCGCACAATCTCTGCCGTCATCAGTCATCATCATAGTCATAGCATAGATGCCGCTTTTTAAAGACTTTGAAAATGGAATGTAATTCAAAAAGAGATTTAATTCGATTCATACAATCTGCATATCAATTTACTTTCGAGCTAAGAGATGATGCTCGGGAAAATAACTCGAAGCATTCATGGAAAATTAAAAAAAAACAACAAATCAGATCCAGATAACAAGGTGTAATCAAGACTCCCGAGCCGCGACTCATGAGCTACACGTATTGCCGTAACATTCAAAATTCAATTTTTTGAAATGAGGTATGGTTGTTGTTTAACAAAAAATAAAACACCAATCCACAACAACAGTACGACGAACATCGTGACAAAAGGGAATTGACTAAAACCGTTCAAAGGGGAGAAGAGATAGAAGTCAAAAGCAAGAAAACGATGAACAAGTTATAAAACAGATTTCGTTATAAAATATATAAAATATACTATAGTAACATAGAAAGGAGGCGGTTGGAAAGAGTTACGTGCAGAGCGGGGAGGGGATGGCTGGCTAAACATTTTTCACAAAACTGTGAAAAAATGCTTACCATAATGATGGAACGATACACGGGGGGTAAAAATCAGTAATGGTCAGCAATGTATGTATATAAAAATTACAAAAAAAGCTAGAATAAAATTACATATTCAAACTGTTATCATATTTCTTAAGGCTCGTATTCGATTTAATTTTTACAAATTTATCTATTCTTACATAGAATATCTCTTTTTTTGCAATTGGGACATTTGGCTAAATAAATGTTTCCTTAAATGACCTTTGTCCAGAAGATTAATTCTGTATTCTGTGCAGAGCCAAATAATGCTTCTTATCAATATTTTGTCGGGATCTCATGTTAATGATGCAATAAGCCCTAATTAGTATGGTCGTTTTTAAAACGATCTATGTATTTTCACAAGAACATTTTTATTATAAAGTAACATATTGATACTTGATTAATGTGGGTCAAAATATTAGAGATATCGCGTGAATAATTGAGTCCAAACATCCAGATGTAAAGAAGATGGAAAAATAATAATATCAATGTTCAAGTGTATTGGAAAAAAGCATATGATCGCGAATCAATTTACTTTCTAATATGCATGATTGAATAAATCGTAATCAATGCACCGAAACTGCATTTTTGCCAACAAGAAGATTAGGATTTCACACGGATAATTTCCAAATGCTGTGCCCTTTAAGGTTTTTAATAAATTTAGCTACTAATATAGTTCTGTATCTTCAAAAATGATAAAACAATACTTTTTAAACCTCGAACTATATAAAATGCCAATAAAAAAGCTTTTTTAAGACAACGTCGACTGAGAATTCACTCCCAGAAGCCATGTTAAATATAACCTGCGGATTTAAACATCTGCTACAATGTTCATTACAAATTATTATTTATCTACTGAAAATAATGTTACATAAATTTAAGACCAAAAAGTTTTAACTGTACCATCAGAATTTACTAAAACATATTACTTCAAATATAATTTTCCTCTTCAAATTATAATTTGATATAAAAAACGAACATAAGACTACGTATATAAATATGTATACAGATGTATGCACATATCTATTATCGCACTATACATATTTTAGTATGTATAACTATAAAATTATATGAATATCTCAATACATATGTATATATGTATATAAAACTTATGTATTATATATATATATATATATATATCACTATACGTTTGTATGTATGTATATAAACGGATAGCTTATTTGAAGTATATAGTGTGAATGTCTGTACGGCAAATCATTGATTATGTTCTAATGGACATATATATGTATAGGATACTATATGTATTTGTCACAACCACTTAAATATACACACCTACATACCTGTTCAACATTTATATGTATGTATAAAAAATCGCCACTCCAGCCACACTGCGATTATGGTGTTATACGAAAATTTCCCAATTTATTGATCGATTTTTTTGTTTGTGACAACTGTTTGTTGAACTCGTTCTTGTATTATTTGCTTGCCTACTAGTCCTCCTCCTGCTCCTCTTCGTCAGCGTTGAAGGATAACTTTATACTTTTTTTGTTGTCCGATTTTTTGCGCTTCTCGTCCTTATTTGACGACTTTGTTGATTTCGATGATGATGATGTCTCTAGTGCTATATCTGAACCCTCTTTAGAATTATGTTTTTTACGAAAGACTATGGGCTTACTTAAATCAGCGCGGGCTTCAGCGGCTTCTGTAATATATAAGAAATAATAAAGTTTAATAGTGAAAATGTATTTTTCTTGGCACCTCAAATCGTAGCAACTTCTGCGATATCTCTTCTTGAATTAAATAACAGTAAACAAATACAAAATTATTTATGACACATTTTTGCAACCAATAAAACATCAACTCCTAAATCCTACATTAAAACTAAAATAAATATAATATAGAGATCCAACACAACGAAATGTTGTTTTGTATTTATTCTACTTTCAATGAAAATCTACTTAAACAGATATTTTTATTCAGGAGAAAAATTAAATGGATATGCAAAAATACGAGATCCATATAGAACGGACTTAACGGACGGCCGTACTGAACATGTTATATTAAGAAATTTGTAAATTCGAACAGAACCGATGCCCTGGTTTTACACTAAAAGAAACCCTTAAAGTTCTTAAAGTTCTATAAAGTTTTAAATAAGGGCTGTATGACATTTATTATGCCAGAAATCTGAAATTATGCATCTATATCGCACTTTCTATAAGTTGGTCGAATAAGTGTTTGTGTTCGAATATTTCATGTTATTTCAAACCTAATGTCAAGGTTATACCAATATAATGAGGAAGATAAAAAACTTGGCCGTTTAATAATATATATATGATATTCTACACACATTCTTACAATTTATTTAGCGGGAATATAGATGCGAAACTAATTCTAGTATGTTATGTTTTGGTACATAAATGGAGTACGTGTACTAATTTACTTTGCAATAAAAGACGAATTATAAATTCGATGACCAATTTATATATCATTACAAAGAATCCACCTTACATCATACTTACTCTAAATAAATTCTTATAAAAATAAGATAATATATATTTTAAACAAGTATAAGTCTGCATTACATTATGACTACTCAAATAGCCTAACCACTATATAAACAAATTATTATAAATAAATGATCAACATTTTAAATATAATTACGTGGATGCATTTTAAAATCTTCATGATATCATGGCCACTCAATTGAGAACAAAACTTTTTAATAATATTTTTAAATAATTGAATCTAAGATAAATTATTCAAAAAATAAAAAAACTTAAGTAACCTAAATGACCGTTACACATTTCAAAAGTGTTTAAATTTAAATATAAAAAGATTTAATAATGATTCGTAAATATCTACCAATAAAAAAGGGTACCATTTTCATTGGATTTATAAGTGCATAATATAATAGTAGGAACGGATTTCAGGATAAAAACAATGGGTTTCCCTTCCCTACTCCAACAATACGGATAAGGACGAATAGAAAGACGTTGAAATAGTGCCGACTACTATTCTAATGACTCAAATGGTTTCCAAGTAACTTTAGCCCCTCACCTCTCGACCTTTTTTAACGCTTGTGGGGCCACAAAGAAACAGGCAACGTAATGGCTGTCCTAGCTCATGTTGTGCCATTGTATATCAGTGAAAAACCAAACACGCAGTTATTGGATGAAACCATCTATCCATCTTTGTTCTTTCACCAAGTGTTTTTCATGCGATAATTTATCACGATTTACCCTCTATCCTATTCTTTGTTGTTTATTTCATTATGCACCTTTTATCATGTTCAGTCTTCTCTCTATTCCTATTTTAGATTTCTTTTCTTACTATGCTTTCCCGTTCTTGGCATCTGCTTTGGCGTTTTACTTTGGACAAAAAGGTGGTATTGCATGGAACCTGATGTCGAATATTGAAGGAACTGTTATATTTTTGTTTGATTTTATTGGACGCCAAGGATGCCATTCTCATTGAACAATTTACTTTTTGTAGAATCAAAATCAAGAAATAAATTCCTCCAACCTTAGTAGAAGTTATCCTCCATGGCTATATTGGTGTCTCTAACATATTGTATATTATTTTCGTTGGTTGGTTTATTGCGCGGGCTGTCTTGGCATAGTCTGACGACAGCTGCTTCTGTTGCCTCCGTCGTTTTCATCGTCGCCGCTACTCTTGTTGTTGTTGTTTCATTCCGTTTTAATGTTCACTTTTATCATCGTATTTGCTTTAGCGGAGCCCCAGTTGTTGGATTGTTGGCCGAATGTGTGTATGTGTGAATGAGTGTCACATAGAATCGACTTCATTTTTTCCCAAGCAGATGAATTGAGGGTGCTCCGCTGGCAAAAGTTCCAGGAATTTCAAACATTTCCACATTGGGCAATCCATATGTCCATAGTGTAATGACTCTATTATTTACATTTGTTGGAGGACTATAAATTAAGAAGTTCACATAAAGTAATTGTGATTTTTATAAAAAAATTGTCGAGTAAAAAATGTGAGGTTAGGAAAAAACTTTTTTCCTAAGGACTTGAAAAACTGCATTTGGACCAGAAAATTCTGACGATGAAAACCACGACATTGTAGGCCACAGAAAAACTTTGAATACGGCAATACGTTTATCTTTTTCAGGAAGAAAAATTCAAAACTATGTAAAATCAACAAATTTTTTGGCATACCTTTTAATATTATTTTTTTTATTAAATTTTGTTAACGTTTTTTACTATGCACTGTTGTTTTCTATTTTGTTTCCAAATATATGGAAGTATTCACTGCATAGTTATTGGAACATTTCTTTCACTTTCAATTCACACAATATTTTTTTTTTTTTTGCTAGATTGCGAAAAATATTTTGTTAAATTTTTTTTTGTATAAAAAAGAGGAGCGTGGAAACGACGAAAAGAAAAAATAACTAACGACAGACCAACGCTCGACTTCTGACTCAACTAAAACCAAAATGACAGCTAACTGACAGAACACACTCACACAACGCCAACGAATAACAACACAAAACAAGCACAAAGTAAAGCTATGGACGGACACACGCAGACGGACGGACAGACATGCGAACATCGCCATCAGCGCAACACAATCGTCTCGTGGTGCACTCACTCAGAAGCGCACTACGCCGGAAAGGTTTTGCTCGCCAAGGGATCGGCTATTCGAACAGAGTTCATCCTTAAATGCGGCGTTTGTTTATATTTACCTTTGGCCAAACGTTTTTGTTCCGCCTCAGCTTCTTGCGCAGTAAGATCACCAGAGTTTAACACCACAACCAATGGTTTTTCGTCCTCACGTTCTGGTTCGTCACTGTCCGAAATATTGTCCTCCAAATTCTCAAGTTTTTGTCTCTAATCATTGAATAAATTACAATTTACATTATTTTCAACTCGAATTGCAATCCGCATGCCGACATTAAATAAACAAATCACCTAAAAATGTCGCAAATAAATCACCTTTGTGTCGACGTTTGGCCCCTCTTTGTAACCAATTTCTTGCTTTAGTTTTGCTAAAAAGGATGGATCTTGTGGTTTTATATAGGCAATATTGCGCTTAGACATAGTTCGACTCGACAACAACACAAACAAACAATATTAATAATTTATTATTATTATTACTGTACACATTTCACGCCACAAATAATCGAATAACAGAAAAACAAACAACCGGGAAAACACGCTTCTAATTTCGTTGATAAACTTTGCAAAAATCTATGTTTGACATTTCTTTTGCTGTCTATATTCGTGGCAGAGTTGTATTTTTGTTGTTTACGGCGAATGTCAAAAACAGTTGTGAATGGGGAGTGGTGTGTCTTGAAGTAGAGAGTATGGCGATTGTCGAATTAATGATTACTACAAGGGCATCTATAAATGTAGCGTGTGGCGCGGATTGTGGTCCACTGTATTTTTAATGGCATTGACATAAGCGACAATGTTGCCAGAATATTTTGTTTGTTTTATGCTACATTTACACCCAACGGGTTCTAGTAAATTAGATTTTATCTAACAATGAAAATGACAAACAAATAATTCTTTATCCATAGAACTACACATTTCATACAAATGCACCATTAGTGGATTTGATTTTGCTTCGAATAAGTTAAATAAGAATGCATTCACATTTGTAATTATATTCATAACTAATGGTGTTTTTACACGATATGTATTTTACATATGTGCTGTTACTTTTTTACATATGGAAATCGAACTCGTCAAGTGAAACATACGGAAATTTCAATATGTCAAAACGATATGCAATTACATATGTATTTTTTCCGAATAGGACGCGCTCTATTTTCATATGTGAAACAAAAAGAAATCAGCTGTTTGAATGAAAGACATTGTTGGAAGGAAATGTTTCAATTGCAAGTCAAAGAAAAGTATGAAGAGGCAACGATTACAAATTATTATTTCGTTTGTAGCTGTTTAATAAAAAAAGATATTGATTTAAGAAAAAAATAAAAGTGTTTTTTTTTTTTTTTGTTTATAGGTTATGTCATATGTAAAATACATATGCCAATTTGAACGCAAAAAATAAATGTTTTGTGTACGCTGCTAATTTTGACACACATAAGGAATTACATATGGATGAAACAGTGACAGCACATATGTAAAATACATATCGTGTAAAAACGCCATAATTGTTCCAGAAACATGGTATAATGATATAAGGTAAAAGTAGATTTACATATAACACTTGATCATGATTAAAGGCCAGGCTAAAATTTACCACGATTTTTATTTTTTATTTATTTTTTCGTGAACCTTGCCACGAGGCCAAGATCGGTTCCAAAAACCACTATAAATCTACTACTCAAAAAAAAAGACATCTCCACATACATCTGACCCAAAAATCTGCAAATGTTTTCAGATGTTGCCTGTTTTTTATTCAATAGTTGCCAAATGCAATAAATTAAAGAAAATACAAATTATTAATAAAATTATTGTATTTATTCATTTTTTATTTATTTTCTAATCAATCAAAACATAGCAAAAAACATTTCAATTGTTATATGCTTTTTTCATTTTTTATTTGCAAACAAATACTTTTGGCGGAACAAACATCAGCTGATTGACATTTAGACCATGAATTATTGTATTGTAGTTAGGGCGTTATTCTGTATTTCTTACAAAACGCTACATTCTAAATTCAAAAAATATTTAAATTAAGGAATTCCTTTATTTATAACGACTTTTCATTCAGAATTATTTTTACTAATTTTCATATAATTTCTATTTTATTGGCAGGCCATATTATATTTATATGATACTGACGCTATAATTACCTTCAACATATTTTCAAGCATTTTCATTCATCTTATATTATTATACCATGTCCCAGAACTTTAAAGAATCTGTTTTAATCGAATTTGTTTGCGATCTCTCCTTTAAAAATTTTACCATATTTGAGAATGACAACAGACAAAATATGTCTATATATTTTTGTGTCATTAATCATGTGACATCATATCACACCATAGCTCCAAAAATAAAGTTTTCCATAAAAGTCACCTTTCCATTACTTTTAAACAACCAAAGAATTCTAGAAAGTCATCTCGGCCAATCTTTTTTATGCCACTGTCTATTGAACACGTAAACCAAATATTTACAGCAAATTAGAAATTGGAAAAATATAAATGTTTGAAACAACTTTAATATCTTGTAATAATTATACCATAAGTAAAACACCCGAAAAATCATAACGTAATATAAACAAATCCAAATAAACTTAGCCCAAACCAGGCATTAACTCAAAAATCAACGGAGAAAATGGTCAAACCAAAGAATATTTATTTGAATAAAACAGTTACTTTTGTAACATTTACTCATTTCAGAGAAAATTACTGAGAAAAGTAAACAGACAACATTCAGTAAGATTCAGCAAATAATCTGCAGATTCGCGATTTTTTTTTACATTTTTTATGCAACACCGTTTAAAATTGCAAATTAGAAATTAAAATGTTTGGATATCTTGCACATAATTTTTCTAGATTGGTCATAAAACAGTTGATTCAAAAATTACTGAGTTTGCAAAATTTTACTGCATAAAATTCTTTCAGTAAACTCCTGATATCGTTAATATCGTCCATGCCAAAAGGATGAGCGGGCGCAAATATTTAATAGTTTGCTCACCTACATTTGCGACCACTTAATTTGCGTTTTGTTCACACAAAGGCTCGCACCAATTGACTCTTGGAATATGAACAAATAGAACAAGTTGAGTTATTCGTTTCAAAATAACGGCTATTTAACCGACAACATTTCCACCCTCTCTGCCCGTAAAGCTTTCCCCCTAAAATTCTTAACATTGGGGGATGTTCGAATCTAATATCGAATGTGAACTTCTGTTAGATGGGTCTCAACGATGAAAAGCATCCATAACCTGGCATAAGAAGTAAATAAGTTAAGAATTGCACTAAACGTACGAGTAGAATAATTTTAAAACGCACAAATTTTCAATGAAGTAATCAGAAAAAATTAAACAAATTTCAAATAAAACAAAGGAATTGTTTGCAATTCAAACAAAAGCACAATAATTTTCTAAAAACTCGAGGAAAAGGTAGTTAAACAAATATGAAGACAAAATAATCGGACTAAAGTTAATTTGCGAAAGAAATGACCTCCATAGAAAGCCGATTAAATAAGAAGGTGGTGAATAAATGGTTTGGCGAAATAAATTATATAAAATAAATTAAAATGTATAAAATAAAATATAGAAATCAAATTTGGAAATTTATAAAAATTCCTTCACATTTTAATTTTTTTTGTTAAAGCTGGTGGAAGAAGAAAATTTGTGTTAGTATAGAAACATTTGTTCGGTGTGCGCAGGTCTTCGATTGTCTACAGCAAAATGCTGTCTAAGCCAAACCATCTGCACCAACAACAACAACAACAACACCACAATTAAAGTCCGAACAATCCAACGAATAAAAGCTTTGAACGCCTTGAAAATTATACGGAATAAGAAAGAACACATTTTTACATATTCGGATAGACAGACAAGCAAACGGCGTTTGTGTTGTTCGGTTGTTTTTTTATGATTTTTAGACTTGTTTACATTGACCCGAATTTGTGTCGAGCACCATTGTTAAGAGCAAACTTGTAATAGTTACACCTGACTGTATGTGGGTGTGAGTGTGTTTGTGTTGGCTACCTCTGGTTCTAATCAAAACCTATTTTTTCTTTTCTTATGCTCGCCATTCAACAGATTCAATGGCTGCAGTCTTAAACAGTTGCGCCTCATTAGCGACAACTGCAAGACAATTGGATACCAATTACACCCAACTGGGTGAAGGTGGTGGTGGAGGAGGTGGAGTGGGAGTCCTAGCGGGTAGCTGCCTCTCGCTGAGAGCTGGTGGTGGCCTCGGTGTGGGAAGTCGCCAAAGTTTCAGCAAAACTCCCCATCTTCATAACGACTCGGCTATGTATCCCTCATTGCCAAAATATCATAGATCTTCCAGTGCACAACAGACCATGACCACGCCCAATCAGCATCAATTTACATCATCCTTGGCTTACGGAATGCCAGTCAGTTCTGGCTATTCCTCACAGCACTCTACCCTGCAGAAATCCTATAACGCGTCAACTGCATCTGTACAACGTGCCAACAATTCTTCGGATATGTGTCGTAGTTTTTGGGGTCACAGCCAGCCGACATCGTCGGCATTATATCGTTCTGGAGATCGTCAACAATCAAAGCGTAAATCGGCTGTAGAGCTATTGGCTGAATCCAAACCGTATTTCGTTAAGAGCGATAATCCGATAATGGAGCGTACCAATTTTGGAGCCAGCACTTTGGTTTGCAGTGGCAAAAGAAACCGCAACAGCTCCAGCGTTATTTTGGATGAGGGCAAATATAATCCCTCGTATGGGGAGACAACTTATTCGGCTGTCGAAGCAGAACGGCGTTATGGTTCAACACCAGCCCATCGCAGATCGTCACAGATGCATCACCACCATCATCATAGTCACAATTCTGGCTGTCATGTGCCATCGGGTAACTCTGGTTTGTATCAGGGCAAGTTTCGTCTATCGATGTCCACAGATTCTGGCCATGAAAGAGATAAATTGTCACGTTATCGGAAGGAGCAATTCGGCGAACCAATTGTATTAAATGAGGTAAATATGGAAGCAAGAGTTCTAGAAAAGGTAGCCACTGACTTCAGGGGGGATAGCATTTGGTTTCTTTCAAATATATTGAATTAACACAATTTCAAAATTTCAGACAAAGTCGGTTTCATTTGAGGAAGATGTAGCTTTTCGTATTCCTCCACCGGTATATTTTTCACAACAATCCTATGGCAACATGTACGACAGTGGCGGCGAAGAACCCCTTGTGCTAACTGAGAACTATAGACCCATAAGTCCGCCAGCAGAATACGCTGAAGACTCGTCGGAGACACACAACGAATCTAGACCGAGGTAAGCGCCTGAAAAATTAATTATGCCTAAGGTAAAAAAAAACATCTTGTGTTCCTATAGTACGAGTAATTACCTATTACGGTGTTAAACTTTTTCTTTTTGGAAAACAGTTTTAGTGATCAAACAACTAGTAGGGCAACAGTGCAGTTTAATTTCAAAAATATTTGTTTTGCATAAATTTGTATTGATTATTTGAAACAGAAATTATTATTTTATAAAAAATTATGGGTGAAAACTTTAATAAGCCTACAATTATATTGAGCGTGATTTATAGAAATCATCATTTATCTTGCATATAATAAGGGATGGTCCTTGTTACGAATTTTTAATCATGCCAAAATGTTGAATACTGTGAAAACGCCATATACCTGTACAGAATGTAATATACGTATCTTCTTTACAATACTTCCATCATATACAGCCTTTTGCGGAATATATACTCGTTTTACATACTTCTGACTATTCTTTACTAGTCTCAACACAAATACCATTAACGTTAGTGTTTTTGGCGGACCATCTATGTATCGAATAGATTTCTGATGTTCCGAAACTTAGTTTGAGTACTTGGTTACGATGTAGACACCGACACGTTATATATAGTCGTCGTTTATTTTTAAAAATTCATAATCCAATTGAATCTCAAATCGATAAATATAATTCAAAATCGTGCTTCTTACGTTCTGCAATAGACGTAAATGCCCTACTAGTTATTCTTATATGCCTTCATGTAAAATATGCATATATATGTATATATATATATGCATATATATATATATATATATGTATGTACATACATTTCCACAATGAGGGTGTGTGATAAGAGGTGTATGGCTTGACACAAAAGATTCAATAACAAGTGTAAACTAATTGCTTATTAAAGGCTTATTTAAGCATTGCTTCTTAAGTGCCGAACACATGTACAATATAACCTCGTATTATGCAAATACGTGTTTTTATTTGACATACATACATATATTTAATAGAAGTGACAGTTTATGGGGAAACCGCTATTGTAATATCAAACGCGTACGTCCGGTAATATTAGGGCTATTCAAAAGTATGCAACTATGTATGTAAACAGCGGGCGGTTAGGTCAAAATCAAAACCAATTTGGTTCTATTGTTTAAAGGTCTTTTACACATTAATAATTCGCCATAGTATGTTAACGTCAATCTGGGTAGTAGTCCAATCTGGTATGTACCAGATTACCAAATAAAATCAGGAACTGACGAAATATGAGACTATAATGTTATATGGGTTATTACAAAGACTATTAGTGATATATTATATCCTTTGTTTATGGCATCTATGAAATCTACGTAACATGTCCCCTCTCTTTTGCGATTAAATCTGAAGAAATCTATTTAGTCTATAGCTGCTATAAACTTATATTCAGTATAAATATATGGAAACGATTTCCCCTAAACATATTTTCTATAATGTTATTTTTAATGTCTAAATTACTATTTATAGTAAATCTATAGAAATTAAGAAAAAATAAAAATTCCCAAGCCCCAATCCCGATTTATCAAAATAATTGTGTCTATCATTGAGATACATGTTTATAAAGTCATGATATTTCCGATCCTTTCGTTAATATATGGTTTTAAATATTTGGTAAAAAATGTTGCCTGTTTACCCAAAAATCCAGTAAAAGAGAGTAAAGTGAAAGCGCAAGTTTGACAGTTCAACAATAAAAAAACTTAATGGAGTTTACTGAAAGAATTTTATGCAGTAAAATTTTGCAACTCAGTAATTTTTGTATCAGTTGTTTAATGACCAATCGACGAAAAATAAGTGCAAGATATCCAAAAATCCAAATTATCCAAATTATAATCGAATTCTATATTATTAATATATTTTAATCCAATTCATTTCATTTCGACGAATGGATCGAAAATCCATCCAGATCACTTACTTATCGATTGAACAACTAATTTTACAATTGTCCACATTCATTTTCCAGATACAACTATCAACGCTCCTATTCACACTCCCATGAAATGGCTAATGATAAATCTAAATACACTGCCGCTTCCTATAACATTAACAGCCACAAATCCCTGCCTGATTTACACACCCAAATCAATCGACACTCGCCGCACAGCGAAATCCTCAGCTGCTGTAGTCGCGGTAATCGTTCAATCAAATCGGCCGGAGAATCATCGTTGAACCGTGACTCCGGCGGTTCATCGGGCCACTATACACATCGTAGTGAGCCGTGCTATCGTCAGCATCGTGTCGATATAGATCGAGAACGCGATGCGACCACCAAAAAGTGTTGCAGCGCCACGACTAGGGTGGAATACCGTCGGGACAGTGGTTCGTCTACACAGCACAGCAACAATTCCTATTGTGATTACTCGTGTAAAGCTATGCTCGACAATTACGACTCATCAGATTATTTATTGAATTTCACCACCCCTGAAGTACCGGAAGCTTTTCAAGATGACTATATACCACCATCCCCACGCATGCACAACTATCAGAATGAAGATACTCGCTATTATAGTTCCTCGTCTCATCAGATACTAGGCGGCGGTGGCGGTCAAGGGGGTTATATGAAACACAAGGCTTCATCCGATGAGCCCATTGTACAATCGCCTGGCTCACAGCCTTCCATCGAGGACATTAGTCCGCCACCAATACAATTCAAGCGGCAAAAATGTATTCGTTTCAAGAATCGCAGTCGTATATCATTGCCGCAACAGCAACAGGGTTCGTCAAATGATTTGCCCCACCCCACTCCATCATCTATGGACTCATACAGACGGTCGGATCCACCGCGTTATTTCTTCCCTAAATGTTTCTCAGCTGATGAATATCAACAGCAGACACATAATCCGCAGCCGCACACCCAGTCGCAGTCACATTCCCATCTGCCACAACCGCCCCAGGCCACTTCGCATCAACAACAAATCAAAGAGTTCAGAGATCAATATGCCAATAATTCGTTAAGACGTTCTCAGGAATTGCTACAGCCCAATGCCCATCAACCACCACCCAGTAATGAGTCCATGATGGACTTGGAGAAATTCTTCGACCGTTTGGGTCTGAACGATGATAAATTCCACGAAATCTACACCATGTCGAAGCGGAAGCACAGCAACGGCAGTGATTCGGAACACAGTACGGTGTTCTTTTCGGATGTCAGTACCGTGGATTCGATGCGTTTGCCCGACAGCACCGAAACCCAGCCACAGACCACCCAAACCTATAGGCCCACAGAGCCACCATCGGTGGTGGAGAGAAATGCCCGCATAATTAAGTGGCTGTGTAATGTACGTAAAGTTCAAAATGACCTAAATTAGGAAAGTAATAATCGCAAACAGCATAGATTACAAAATTATTAAGTACTAAAAAAATTAAAAATAATAACGAATGAGTGTATTTAAGTAGTTTGATAATGTAGTAGAGAATGTTATGAAGAAATACGAAGAAAAAAAGCAGAACAAAATAAAATTACGACAATAGAAGTGTGTTAAGCTAGAGTTTGAAATCAGTATAAGAATGTTTTGCAATGTTTTTATAAGCTTAAACCAGTAAAGGCTTTGTGATTATTTTGAAAAAAAAAAATGATACCAATTTGAAATGCTAATGAATTTGAAAGAACCACATAAAATATTTCAAATTTCAATTTATATCACATATTATCATTTTATGAACATTTTCCGTAAACCTTTTACTTTTATAATTGTTAATTGTTCGTTATATAATTATTATAATAATAGGACAAATCTCAAATATTGTGTTTTACAAATTATTTGATTTCGAATTATCTCAATTGTTACCATTCTCAACCATAAATGCAATGGTTTTGAAAATATGACAGGTGGTTTGGAGCAATCTCAAAAAGAAATTTAAATTGCAATTACTTCAATTGAGAAATGCGGCTAAAACCTTCGATGTACAAAAATAGGGCTGACATATTCAATTTCAATATAAACACCATAGGGATAGAAGCAATGTTTGGGTAAAGTTTCAAAGGTACTTTATAGGTACTTTATATTCGACAAATAATTAAAGGTGTTGCAAACTGAATGAGAACAAAGTATAAAAACTTTAACATAGGGTGCTATTTTTATTCCAATATCGATAGTTTCGATTTATACATTTACACAATTAAATATTCCAATTATTCAGAGCGAGCTGAGTGAGTAATTTCTCAAGCCACGAATTAAAAAGTGCTCCAGTTTTGCTTTTTCGGACAAATCTACCATTAGGTCCGCTCATTTACTTTTCCAGTAAAAGTTTCTCAACAACCTTTTCTCTCTCTATACCTTAAATATTTATAACAATTTGTAAGGACGAAAAAATAGAACATATTAATTACTCTCTCAATGAAAGCTTTCTTTGTGTAATCCAGTAACACCTTAATAGGTAAAAGGCCTTGCCTTTGTATTGATAGGTTAGCGCTCACGATAATTTCCGGTATTATGGCTTAAAGATGTTCTTCTTTGAATCCTTCATATTATATTTGTTTCTTTTTGTTTTTATTCCAAGATTTTTTTTTTATATTTACATCTGCACAATATAATTTAATTCATTTATAATTAGTTTCATATTGAAACATTTCATGCGGTATCTTAAATCATAAGATTCGAAACAAAAATGATTAAAAAAAGAAAATCGATGAACGAACAGTCAGACAGTATTACATGCACATATTTGCATATATAAACATGTGTGTATGTAGTAAATAGTGTAGAAAAATGCAGCAAACAATTATTTACTCTGACGAAACTGAAACAAATTCTAAATTATTATTAGCGATGTTTTTAGTTTTTAAGAAGATTAATAAAAAACCAATCAAAATATAAAAGAAATAAAACTAAAAAAAATTTAATTAATAAATGTTTTTGCATAGTTTTCCACAAATCATATATATATATAAATATATACATAAAGAATATATTTAAAACATTTTTTGAAACAAAACACGAATTATGAATTAACATTGAACACAAATGATCCAATATCGAATCCACAAAGTTCAAGGACAAGGATCAAAATTTGAATACAGTGAAGATGAAACCTGAAATGCTCTGTATGAAAAGAGGTCTCACAAAATACAAATACAAACACACATACACTTACACACATATAAATATATACGTATATATTTATGTTTACAATTAAAGATTAAAATATATAAAATGATTTTGTCAATATTTAAATGAATTAATTAACAAAAAATGACTACAAAAATAAACCCCCTCCCCTTACTACGTAAATGATAAATAACAACAATATCGCAAACTAAACAATTTACAAATAAACAGAAAAATATTTATGAAGACAAATTCAAATAAAGACATGAGTTCAATATCAATTTAATATTTTATAAACTGTTTTATTTTATGAAAGTTTTTTATTACCATCGCCATTTGTGCATTTGAGTCGTTTATTTTGAACGTGGTTTAAGTCTATTTTAGGTTCTGATGAAAATCTCTGTTTTCTAGAAAAGTTTATAAAACGTATAACGTTATATATTATATCATGTTCATGGGTACAAAGTCACCAAGAAAATAAATACCACACAACAATATTTTTGAAAAACGGCATATACATTAGAACTTTTTACCGGGTAACCTACTTTATGAGGATTTATTTGACATATATGAAAAGGAAATGACAATTGAAACCCACTGGATTAATGGAATCCGGTTAAATGTAAACGTACTAAAACAATTCAACCTCGAACCTTGAAATATTTCAATATAAGAAAAAATGGACATAAACTACATTCAATATAAACGACTCATTTATGACATATAGTGTACAAAATCGTACTACAATAAAATATCCTTAATGCGGTACTACATATTTGCAAACATTCGATGCAATAGAATTATGTACAGCTATCGCCACTCCACCACCGATCGTGTCTATAAACTTGATATTTATCTCAAATAAGTTCAGCATCACCAATCTCAGGTTTAAGCCATGTTTCAGACAAGACAAAAATTTCATAATCGCAATCGAAACAACATGGTCAATCGAAATTTTTCAACATGGGTCTATGTTTTTAATATTAGGCATATGCACCGATTGTTGCCATTTTAATGGTAACTTCATAATGCCTCTCTCATAGAAGTCCTGCTCTCTATTTGCAAAAACTCTAGTAGTCGATTTTCACAATCCTCCCTAGATGTCAATTATTTATCATTAAAGCGTTATCCTGGTGGAACACGACACCACTCCTATTGGCCAATTCTGGCCGTTTCTGGTCACTTTTAAATGGTTTAAAAAATTGTATGATCGATTTTTATCTCCTGGAAAATGTTACCACTGCTAACATGCTGGCCAATATCGATCATTTCTCCGATTTTATCGACATTTTCGACGACCGGCCTACCTGTGAGAGGTGCATCGTTAACATCTAAAATTCATGAACGGAATCTACGAAACGAAAATCGCACATAATTGGCTATTACAGTATCGGAACCATAAACACTATTCACAATTTTAGCCGCTTGGCTTGCATTTTCGCCTTTTTTAAAGAAAAAACTGTGAAATGTACCGGATTTTGTCTTTCTTCACTTCCATTTTTAACACCCTGTAACTCACAACGGAATGCATCAAACAAAAAAGCAAAATAATTTTTTTACTGCGAAATGTCACCCTTCCAAAGAGCATAATTCTGAAATTGTTTGATCGATACTATAAGTACAGCGATCTGCCGAAAACATAATGGATAATGAAGTTAATAGCCCAGTTTTCCAACCTGATAATCGGTAATTTGGTATTCAATGTTTATTAAATCATAAAGAACTTACTTGCAGACAATTTACAAATTACATAGACCCCAAAGAAGGTCCCGAACGATTAAAAGAATTTTCAATCTATACTACCGTTTTACTTGGTTTAAATTAAGAAATTATGATGATTTAAAAAATTACCACAATTAGGAAGTTAATGAGAAATGCCGCGTTTTTAACCCACAGTTAGAATTTTATATTTTCAAACCTAAATCGTTTCATTGATTTTGTTATCCAAATTTTCTGTCCGCAGCGGCAAATGGCAATAACTGCAATAATCTAATAACGATTGTGGGATTATTGAACAGTTTTTGTCGCACTTATATATACGCATACAGATTCCCATAACATTATTTTTTTTTCAATAGCACATATCAAACAATTTGGTGAAACAAAAATTGGTGGACCTTATGAAAGAAATAACAATCAAATATAATGGCTATCATCTTCAGTGGATAAAAATCATAAATGTATTTGTTAATTAATGAATTAAAAGTTACCACACATAAGCAGTAATATAAGGGGGTTTTAATGGCTATTGACACTATGTGTATGTATGGAGAATTTTTTAAACTATTTGAAGTATGGACAAGGGTGTATGTGTGTGCAGGATACACATTACCCATATGCATAATATGCATAATAGCAAACAGTTAAAACAAGAATATGTTAAGGATATATTAAATGGGAATTTTAACGTCCCAGAAGACCGCTAAGGATATTTCCGGCTCCGCCACCACCACTTCCTCCTGCTCCACCGGTCAAACCCCCAAGTAAACCACCACCGCCTTCACCGCCAAGCAGGCCACCCAATAGCGGTATTCCGTTAAGATTTAATAAGCATCTGAAATAAGAAAACATTTTTTATAGATATTGTAATTTAAATGTATGGCGTTGATTGGAATGCGAGTAGAGAAATTAAATTTAAATCTATTGTCAGCATTAATTTGAATTAAAAATTAGGCGAGATTAGTTCAAAGTTCTTAAACGTATCACAAATCCTTTGGGTCGAAACTTAATACTCGCTACCATGTGAAATCTAATGTTCTCGCCGTACCGCATATTTTCATGTGACAATTTTTGTAATAAGAAAAAATGTGTGGTCAAAGATTTTCGTCGCCAAAAGATGCCGTTGAATTGGTAAAAAACTTTTTTTTTAACTTTTTCATTCGAAGTTGAAAAAGTGATTGGAAAATGTGTTTGATCGTATGAAAAATGTGTAAATGATGCTGGAGTGTACTTTGGGAAGCAATAAACCTACTTTTGATGATAACTATTCGAAATTTCATTATTGAGACCGAATAATATAGAGTTTTGTTTTTTTTTTCAAAATGTTAACCATTTTCGGAGGTCTTGAGTAAATATACACCAATAACAAATAACTTTATTTTGGATTTAAAAAAAAACAGATATATCCCTTTTTAAAATGTGCGGATCATATAATGACAGAAGCATCAGGGTATGGCTATTCATATATTTTTACTTTCTTTCCAATATATATTTTTACTACTACATACCTCAAATCCAAACGTATTGCTTGTTGGCAGGCCC